AGAAGAAGAAGAAGAAGAAGAAGAAGATGAAGCCATAACGGGGAATTGTTTGCTGGTGCTGGTAGGTTAAGATGACAGAAAGTGGACAGACAGCGGATAAGCGTGAATTTAATTGTGATTTCGAGGCAATAAGGGAACAAGGCGGCATAGATCCGAGCTGGCTTCGAAATCCTGATGACGAATGTGAAGCTGCAGAGGGGTTTTCGGGGATGCCATTTTAGTTACTTGGCCAGGAACATCTGCTCCAAGACCAGCAAGAACCAGGTAAAAGCGAAAGGGTCATAATCAGAGAGAACGAAGGTTCTTTGAATCGTCCCATCGTTGCCAGAAACTGTACCAGACATAGCGAGAGCTTCAGGTAGGGTGAGCGAAAGGTCACCCACCAGAGGAACGAGGTGGATGAGGACAAAATTGGTGCCAGATAATTGAAACAACCCGCAAACGACACCTAGACACTTGCCGCGGATGAAAACATACCGCCTGAGCCTGAGCCCCAAATTCCAACTCAATGTCGAATTCATCACGTCGAATATATTGATTTCCCCCGGGGCCAATTTGGTTACTCTGGCGGGAACTGACTTCTGCGCATCTTTTCGGCCTCAAGATTTTCGTACAAAAGGTAGAGCGCCTTCTCGTTGCTGCTGGCACTTCCCATGATCGTGAACATGCGCTCGCCAGTTTCGTCGTGGGGCGCTTTGGCGATAGAAATTCGGGCACCCGAACTCTTCCTGATTTCACTGATCTTGCTGCCGCCACGACCGATGATACAACCAACCATGTCAGCCGGAATACTAATATTTTGGGTCTGGATCTCCTCTCCATCATCGGCAGCAGGAGGTCTGCCTGTGGAGTCAGAATTGGAACGGCGATTGAATGATCCGGTAGGAGCATCGCTGAAGTCAGCACCATTTCCGGTGCGATTAAAGCCCCGAGTTACTGCTCCATAGCCCGCATTTGCGCCGTTACTCAATGGGCCTCCACCCACTTGGGCTCGAACGGCAGGATTATACAAAACCGTACCAGTTCCTCGCTGCCGATCATCAACGAGGCATTTTCCGATTTCCCAAACGGCCTTTTGGATACCCTCAGGTGTGCCTTGCACTTCAACAATACGCTCCGTCGACTGTGGGAGCATCTCCTTCTGAGCCACCATGCGAACACCTGATGCATCCTGGATATGTTTGATTTTTAAGCCTTGTCGACCAATGATTGTGCCCATTTGGTTGTGAGAAATGAGTAGACGAATAGCTATGAATATAACAGTCAGCAAAAGCATCAAAAGTCTTAAGGGAAAGTTATATAAGGTCATTTAACGCTCGAAAATATCAGGCGAAATAGAGGGCAACTGTGGGAGAGTCGATATGAGGAGAGCCTTGCAAGAGATAAAAAAGCAAAAACCGGGGAAAAAAAATAATAATTAAAAAATAAGTAAATACTTACGGTGCGTGCCGTTAGAAGAAATCACGCCGCCCATGCCCATCTGTGGTGCGCCTTCAAGTAAGCCCTTCGCCACCATGGCATAAGCTTTGGAGAGACCCTCCAAACCTCCCGTAATGGACAACACGCGGTCATGCACCCCTTGAACAACCTTGCTCACTCCAGCTTTAACACCAGTCTCGTCACGAAGATCTGCGACATTCTTTCCTGCCTTGCCTATAATAACACCAGCTTCTTTGGAAGATACAATAGCTCGAAGTGTAAGCTGAGATTGCGCGTATTCCTCCTCGGTTCTGGGCGCCGGCTCGCCGTCAGGTCCAATGCGACCCTCTTCGCCCGTATGTTCAGTCATGGTCATCCGATTGAAAGTATCCACAAGACCAGATTGCTGCTCAGATGACTGCATTGGAACTGAGGAAATATCTTCCGTAGTCATGTTCCGGAGCTGTCGTAGAAAGAGCTTGAATTCAGCGCGCTGACAATCAAGGTTTGAGCCCGGCTATAACTTGCTGATAGGTTGCCCAATTTATATCAAGCTTTACTTCTCAGATGGACTGAATGTCACTCGCAGGGTAACCGTCTTTTAGTTCCGAGCTCTTGGGCTAGAATTTGTCCTCGCGATAAAAGGGTTTGAAAAATACGCGATCGACGAAATGGTGAGATGATGGGAAAAGAACTTGCGCGGAATAGGAGATGAACTGAACTGTCTATGAGTCGCGAAATCAACAGTTTAGCTCACGGGATAATAAAGCTGTGGGTGGAGATGGAGAGGAGTGTGGCGGTTTGCACTGAAGATGGGTTGGACTCGGAAACAAAATGAGGTTGCGTGTGAATTTTACGGACGGAACACCCCGCAGAAGGAGACCGAGCCGGCATACCTAGGACTTGCTGTACTAGGATACGTGCGAGGGTGCCAATTCCAACGTTTGAGATACCCTTGCTAGCCACAACATTATACATTTCATTGGGCTTAAGCTTGAAAATTCACAATGTTTGATTACAACGACAGGAAAATACTCTTTATTAAGGGGACAGATAGATTGACATGGCAAATTAATAGATGCCTTGATGACGTTAGACAAGCCGATCACTTCCATGAATCTGTAGCAGTTTCATATTTCCCTCTTTGCCTAACAGTATGTGAGAATGAATCACTAGCTAATGTTGAAACATTCTCCGCCGTCCGATTTAGATGCTTTTACAAACTATTTTCTTGATGACGCGATCCGATGAAGCCCATTCGGTACTCCGGTATTCATGAAATTTCGCTCTATTCAACTTTGAGGCGGTAATGTGCATCGAAAGGATTGCAAAACTGACTGTAGATTCAACCACTGCCGCAAGATCAGAAGAATTAGGATTCTTGCCATAAGCTATAAGGATCGTTAAAGATTGTCCATCAAATGAAACAAAGCATGTATCAGCCGTAGTGTGCAGACTGGTTGTATTCCAAGGCCCGACAAAACAGAGGGAAAAGAAAACGAAAAATCAGAACAGAATGAGGATTGTGAGCCCAAGATACAACGCCAATTAGCCCCAGGCGCCCGATGTGATGCAAACGACATCTCCCATACCTACGACTCCACAAATAAGATCCGAAAGTAAACACGCCTCATCATGTGCAAAAGCTGTTGCGGGACCCTTTGACAAGCGAAGTCCAACAATCTCTGTATTCAGCAAACCAGGCATAGAAGTTCCGCTTCCAAAATATACTTTCCCTCCTTGTATTTCTCTGAACTTTCATAAGCCTTGTCATATTTCCATCCAACAGTTTCTTTGCACTCAATACACATGATATCCCGCACAATATGACGTCCCGTTGTCATGTTTCTCTCCATAGCCTCCGCCAAACTGATATTCACAACCGAATTGAACAAGTAAGCCTTGCCATGTTGGCCACGGAAGTTCTGCGCTACCACATCAGTATGAAATAGAACCAAAATATTCGAGCGCCAACAGTACTGACCCGACTAATGATGTCATCAGGATTTGACAAATGCGTCTTGCACTTTTTGCATCCATAGATGCGTGGTGAATTGAGGTATATGTTGTAGGCAAGTCCCATTTTCCGCCTTCAACTGCAGGCCGACTTAGTCTGCGAAGCGACTATGATTGTAGTGTGATTATATGCAAAAAAGAAAAGGAAAAAGGTCTGCAAAGCTGTCTGTTGGAAGACTTTTTAGGATAGGCACAGACGTATGTGTCACGACGCCTGATTCAAGCCGAGACAGACAGGATCGAATGTGAAGAGCACTGAATCATCAACAAAGGGATATGTGACGGGAGCCAAGTGACGGGTTTTCAGGTGATAGTTTCCCCAAGATAAACTGAAGTCACGAGTCCCAGGCTTTTGAAAGTGACATTCAGTCTTATTCGTCGACAAAATTTGGTCGTCGTGGCGCGGCGCCTCTCAGAAAGCCACCGCCCCGCAGAGTCCGATAATGTTCCACTGGAAATAGGCCGTATGAAACGCTCTGCTGAGGCTACTCAGATCGGCGGGGGTTGGACGATTTATATAGTATATGAAAGAGGTGGGATGCAGCAAGTTTAGGATCTCACGTTAGCTGGTCACTGAGAAGGATAATCAATAATGGGCAGGTATTGGGGGGAAATGTGCACTTAGCACTATCGGAGTATTCGCGACTTGCATAAGCTTGTGCATGGGAGAGCATAATGAATGGGCGAAGGGGGGTAAGTTGCCGATGCAGCTACAGAGTACCCGTAGTACACTTCTTTTAACTTATTCCTTATGCCTGGAGGTAGTTCTACTACCTGCAACGGCTACTACCTTACTTACTGGCGATAAGGCCATGGCTTCGTCACTTCAAGCACTCGGAGAGCGGGAACTCCGCAACCTGCTCCGTAGACTAGGCCGATAAGAGAAACCCACTCTTATCGACATGCCCAGGCTTCTCTATCAACCAGATACCTGTTTTCCCGTCATCGCAACTACTGGGAAAGACAGTACTTTATTGCACTGGCGACCAATCCTCCTCCCGCTATAGTTCTAGGCAGGTACTCTACTGTATATGCACATCCGACACGCCCGTAGCCCAAGTATCCAGCAAGGCCATCAACGCGCTCAACCAGACTGCAGCTCAATGCCAATGTACGTAAAGAATAGCGAATAATTTAACAAAAGCCAAATGCGTGGTGCCTAATCAAGAGATTGTGTCTCAGATTCAAAGGTTCATCTTGTACAGAGGTGTTGATTGCCTGCTAATCCTCATGATCTTTATGATACTAAAAGCTGGCCCAAGAGCTGATCTTCCCAGCAATTCCACCACACTACTCATCTGTTGAACGCTTTCCACCTTTTCTATTTTTCATTTGGGATTGCGGGCTTAATTTGAAATGGCATTTTGATATTTTTGGAAACCACTAACATTATAAGTATGGCAAGAAAGAAGATGGGCCTGAGCGTCTGGAGAAGCGTACCTTGGTACCTTGACATCTTGGCCAGCTAAAAGGAGAAAGAAAAGAGAGCAGGATTGTGAGACAAGGAAAAACGGTGATATTCCCTCATGAGGAGAGACTCGAGAATATTTCTGTAACATAATCTTCTTATGAGACACTTTCGATTGGGTGCTAGGAAGGGCAAGAAAGACACCTAAATGTCTGGAAAGATAGACAAGCCGAATTTGAAATTATAATGGGCCATAAATCTACAGCCCCAACGGGAATCAAATGATCAGGGCTGCAAAGTCTCTCATCAGCCAGACCTATTGCCTGGAGGTTTCATGGAAAGATCTTGCATTCGTAAAATTCCCAGCGCTACTACTAATCTCTTCATTATGACTAAGAACCTCTGAGCGGAGCATCAACTAATACGATATTCATCTGCGCGTAAGCCTTGTCTTACTCCACATCAAGTGGAATTTCCTTCAAGAATCGTCACGAGTGTAAGCTGACCTGTCAGACCTCAAATCTCTCTTCCTGAGAATCGTCTTCACCTTGCGATGACTCCTGCGGGCCACTTTCACCAAAAAGAAAAGAACGAACCTTGTTCTTTTGTTCGTAATTCCGTTTTCCAGTGCGAAGAGGGTTGTTGCTCATGCCATTAGAAGTTCTTTGTTCACCTTCTACCATCCATGAAAAAGAGGATTGAGCGAGGGATCGTCGAGGGGACTGGAATGATTCGACTGGCTGAGTTTCTAATTGTCCACCTTTCGGGGAATTCGGAGATATGTAACCGGCAGGAAGTGTAGCAAGTTTTGATGGATATAAGGCAGAAGACGTTTGAGTCTGGACCGGAGGTGATTTCGGCTGGTCGGAGGAACCCACGGACGTGTGCTGCTGAAAGAGGCTCATTCCTTCTGGTCGGCCTCCCGATTCTTCGCTCCCCGTCTGAATAATCTGCTTCCTTGGAACATCTTCAAACATACGCTGGGCATTTTCGACTTTATCGGCAGCCAATCGAAGCTTTGCTGCAGCGCGTCGATTTATCTGTTTAATTTCCTCCTCGCATTCTCGAAGACCTATGAGTGCATCTTTCAATAAGTCCACTGGCGTTAGGCTGTTATCCACGTAATCTTGGCAAATCTGAGATTTTGGTTTTCCTTGGACCGCATCAGATACCTGGGCTTTTGTGGGAGTGCTAGTAGGCAAATTCTGGACGCCCTTTCGCATCTCTTCGACGGTATTGCGAACTATGTTACTGAGACCCCATTTCTCGCTCCGCCGGTACACTCCTCGTGCAGCATCCTGTAAAAAGTTCTCCAGTCCACGTTGCTCTGGGCTTGAAATCGAAGAAGACTGGGATGGTGAGAGAGAACGCAACTCGGCTTTGTCTTTGCCCGCCGGAAATTGAAGCGCAGAAACCCTTGAATAGCTTTGGCGCTTGCCAGGAGAGTATTTTGGGGTTCTATTGGAGTACTTAGCTATGATGTAGCTACCTCCTTCTATGTCAAGGTGGGTACGGAGATATATTGCGTCATCGACAAAGGTCTGAGCTCCTATATTTTCTGGTGGAATGGGATAGCGAAGAAGTATGATCAACATATCTGGTGGCTCCGCCTCGAGGACTGCAGACGGGATGAAATTCAGCTCCTTTGCATGGAATTTCTGTTAGAAGGTCTACTTACGATGCCATCGGACGCGCAAAAGCATTGCGACACAAATAAATTGAAGAAGGTCTAATTGGGGGTCTTCCGCTAATATCAGATCCCACAAAGGGAGGAGATTTTCTAACGGAAACTCTCGCCCAAATATCAACCTGAACCACCGTCTTCATGAATGAGTCAACCTCTGAAGAAGATAAAACACATGAGGGACTAAAGAGTGGGAGGAAAAACCGAAATCTGAAGATCAAGCCCGGGGACATACAAAAGGAAAACCTGTGGTACTATCTCGGCTTTGTAGAGTCTATCTGATAGCTCCGGATCAACCTGTGGCAAGAGGTTGTAGTAGACATTCTTGATGCTCTGCACTATGAAAGAATCGCTCTGCTTCGATGCAAACGTGATTGGTTGCTTTGGTGTTGATGGAGCCGCGTCGTATAATGGCTTGGCAGACTGCATGAGCAGGTTGAATAAAGTAAACGAATCATGCTCTATGTATGTCTCATCAAGCATTGTGCCCACGAAAGATGAATCTTCCGTTTCAGAGGGGCAAAGACCCGTGTTAATTGCATCTTCTTTGACTACCCATAATAGGGGAGCCAAAACCTCGTGCATGCCTTGGCGGTACCCGACGTCCGGATTAAGTTTGCAAAAGACAAATAGTATATCCAGCATCATTGTTTGAGGTTCTCTCTGGTGGAAATATTCATAATCTGGCATGCATCTCTCAACATCTTGAAGTATTTCCTCTCTCAAGGCCTCGTCTTGTCGAATATTTGTCCAAGGAGACTTGGAGGAACCATCAGCGAGTTGATAACAGTGGAACCGCACCCAAAATCATTGAAAGCTCTAGCTTTACAATTGGTTACATCATTGGAGACTTACATTTTCGTCTTCGGTCAACGGATCAAACTCTGAGTCAATATTGTTAGGCCGTTCGACGTTTCGAAAAAAGTGTTGCCTCAAAGAATCATAGGCCCTCCTCGAAGCAAGAAGCTTCTGATTCCAAATTAAGTGGTCGAAATCTTGAAATAATAAAAAAATCTGGAGATTTAGTCAAAATCCAAGGAAAAAAAAATGTATGGCAACAAACCTTCCAACATATGGACCGAAATCCGCAAATGCATGGGTTTTCATTGGCAGGCTTTCTCACGGCACTTTTCAGACTTGAAATGCTCGACGATTCGGCTACAAAGCGCCATCTCTTTCTGGAAATAGTCATAGAATCAGCTCTGACTTGTACCCTGGAAAATTTAGAAAACACTTAAGAACTCACTGAAGGTCCTCTCTTGACTTCATCCCAAGACAGCCTGTATCAATCATCTATTTCTTGAGCTTACAAAGAGGGCCCTAGAGCCTAAGGAAGAATTGCAGACTCTTGCTTCAAGTTCAGCGTGGTCTATGGTTCTCATATGTTTGGCAATAAACACGCGAATATTATCAGAGCTGTGCTGGTTCTTTGTTGTAATCTACTCCGGAGATATCATGCGCTTTAGCCTAATACTGCGATTGGCCCGATACAACCAAGGGAACTAACTGCAATGGTCCGCCCCGCGCTCGCGTTGGGTGATGGGTTCCATTGACACGCCAGCTTAACTTACCTAGGTAGCAATAATCGTAGTAACTGTACCAGACCGGCCATTCAAAGTAGCAACATCCCCAGAAATCGTATGGAATATTCGAGATTGTTCAATAAAGGAAGTGGTAGCAAATGTAGTAATATCAATCGTTATCAAAGTTGCGGATGAAATTATTGATTGCATACCGAGGTACCTCACTTCTGATTCCACGCCTTACCCGGCAGTAGTCCTGAGAGACGACCTTATCGCCCTGATCGAATGTTTCGCTATCTACCCAGGGTTCTGACACAGCAAGCAATGACTACTATGCAGTACCTGAGGTTTATTGCCTGAAGGAAGTCACGCCGCAATACTTGCACCCGAGGTCCTCCAAAATAAAAAAAAGAAACTCATTCACCGCATTGATTCCGCAAATGAAGCTGATCCGGAAGATAACATAAATCAGCCGCATGCAATCTATAAATTTGGCGCATGCCAGAAAAGTGCCAACAAGCGCTTTACGATCTCAACCGCGGTACAACAGCAGCCTTTAGCCCTTGATAATGCAGTCGCAGTACCCCCCTGGAAAGGATTTGCAGGAAATTGATAAATCCAACTCACATATAACGGTGCATCAAGAGCCTGCATCGCCAGCAGGCGCTAGGCCTCACGATCTTGGATTTTTGGAAAAAGGAGGACGCCCTTCACCTCCAATCCTTACCCAGATGCACGATGGCCTCGATCCTGCCCCAGAGCTCCCACCTCCCGCTCAATTTGATAGGCCATCTGATATCCTATTTGATGCGTCATTGGACCAGCTTATTGATGAGGAATTTGGGGACTTTGAGTCAGCTGCTTTGCCCACTGCATCAACTACAGAAGATTTGATCTCCATCGGTCCCGAAACCGTACAACCATCAAGTGGGAGAAACAACGAACAGCATAGCTTACAAATTCAACCAGAAGGGAAAATTAAGACAAGAGTTTTGCCCAGATCAAAGTGTGACCAGACATTGGCTTCCCCTCACACCATGCCAGCTGTTGCAGAACGTCAGATGGCTCGACATGATACTTTAATCAAAGAGAATGAAGATTGGGGAGATCTTATGGATTTCGAAGATCCGCTCGATTCAAACCCTTGCAGCGTACTAACACCATCCAGGAGGTCGGAGGGTGCTATCTCTGGAGGCCGCAGTCATGGGAACACGCCTGGTCACTCTACGACACTTTCAATCCCACATGCTCATTGCACAGCCTTCAACGCGCCCGCTAGGAATCCATCATCATCATCATCATCGTCGTCGAAAGTAGTTGCTCCGACAAATATCCCACAACCTTCTATTCTTCTGCCTTTAATCACATCCAGTTTCAATGCCTTTCAGAGCCGATTCTCCGCGCCAATATCCATCCAGTCACATTCCGTAAGGGAAAAAGCGATTTACGACCCTGCAATGATTGAATTTCTTCGTGGCTACATCCTTTTGGGGGTAGTGGCCACACGAATTATTGCTGGAAGGAAGCTGCGTTGGCGAAGAGACAAATACCTCTCACAAGGTACCAAGATTGGCCCAGCGCAATCTGGGCAAAAAGGAGGCATGAAGCTTGCTGGTCTTGATAGGATGGAGGACCTCAAAGAAGTGAGAGAAATTGCCGAAACTGTGCAAGCCTGGAGCACTCAGCTCGGGATTCTACGCTCAATCCTTGTTGCTGCGAAATCCAAGGATTCCAATTTTTCTCTCAAGATTCCGGAGCTTAAGAGCACACCGAGCATCAGGACTCTGAGTGAAATGGAAGGAGGGCTAAGTGCGACGTATTGCTGCGCTCTTTGTGGACTGAAACGCAACGAGAGAGTTGGCGGCGTTGACGTTGATGTAGAGGACAGCTTTGGAGAATGGTGGGCAGAGCACTGGGGCCATAGAACTTGTAAGAATTTTTGGGAAGAGCATAAGTCAACATTGCCATGAAAAGCGAGCGTTGTATGCTGCAACAATATCCAAGAATAACCGACTGTATTCTAACTCATTTCATCAACTACTTATGGATCTCCCGGATTTGTCCCAGCTTTTTTATCTGTTCTTTCCCCTCGTTCTGAGGCTTATATGTAATGATGTGCGTTCCTGCAGTTACGCTGAAGATGACAACATAAATGAGTTGGCCTGGTCTTAAGATACAGAATACCACGAGATCTGACAGGAAGAGTATTGGAACGAACGCATTGCGCCTCCTTCCTCAGTGGGCCTGCACCAAAATCATAACCAAAATCATGCGTGAAATCCACCTGTCGAATTGCTCCTGGTCTACAGAAGAGGAGGAAGGCTTTCCCATGTGAAACCCAGCGATTTTCAAATGCTTCAGGGACTTGTGGCTAATTAGCCTTGAGGTTCAGATGGAGATAATCTGGGTGGTGATACTACGAGATCCCGCTTGGGAACTATATACCTGAGCAATTTCAAAATAATATCTTTTGTGATTCGTCTAGATAGATCATATGCCTCGCAAAATGACTAAACAAAGTCTTTTCCCGAATAATTGTCTTGTGCCTACCGTAGCTTGGACTATGAGATATATCTATTGGGATTCTGTTCTAGACCTTTACCGTGTCAAGTAATCAAGAGGTTGTCCGAGGGTCATTTACTTTTACAGTCCTCCTACAACGGGTTTTAAAATTCAACCTTCTGGTCTTCGCAAGCGCCCTAGAAGGCAAAAGCTGAAAATTGAACTTACTGCGATAAGAAAACCTGGCGGAAGTTGCAGCATATACATTGGTAGGGTACCCGGCGAAGACGTACTGTACCGGACGGTACATGCGATAGTTTTCACTATTGCATTGCTGGAGCTTGCTCCTCGTGCTAGACTCAATCCGCCTCAACCCCCAACTCTGCAGACAAGTATTTAGGCCGGATTGGTGTAAAGGCCACCGTTGACCTCGCCCGTCTGATTCAGGCCTTAAATCTCAGTCGAATCGACCAATTCATCTCATTTTCGTCATATCCGTGAATCCTAAACAGTCGGCTGCCTGCGTTCTCGGACCCTCATCGAGCTTCCACGCACCCTCAGCATGCAAAACCGGCAAGTTGATGCCGACGGTGAGTCCTAGATCTAAACAGAGGACCAAGCCTCGCCCCACTGATTCCTTCGTATTCTTTCTCATTGAATATTACTGGACTATGTTGAAAATCAAATGGCTAATTGCAAGATTTGAGCAGGCGATCCTGATCCTCCGGAAAGATCGTCTACTTTATCACTTCGAGGCCGCCCTGGCCAACTAGGACTACCCAAAAATCGCAGCACCGGGAATTTCTTAAATTATCAAGAGAGTCCAGCAAGTGCGTCGAGGACAAGACATTCATTCGATGCTGGGCTCAGTCTCGATTATGACGTTAACGCAAGGTATGGGTTATCTTACTTCACACCTTCTCTTGCCGTGCCCCACGTTGACGATGCTAATTGCTTGACTCTGCGACGAAAAGGTCGCCAATAATACCAGAACATGAGCATGGCTTAGGCGCATCTGGCCTTCGCCGTATTCGACAACAACCACCAGCTCTCGGTTCGAATCAATCCAATGCTCTCCGATCGGGCTCGAATGCCGGAGTCCCTCCTAGGTCATCGTCGATGACCCTCTCATTACCGTCCTCCAGGACGCCATCAATTTCTCTACCCAACGGGCCTGCCTCTCCGACGTTCAACTTCAGCGAGGACCTATCAAGATTTCCTTGTGAATCTTTGCATTCATTCTCTTTCGCTCACCAATCTGAAGAATACATCCACAACCGTCAAAATGTTTTGAAACGATCCATGGACTTCCTGCGGGATAGGTTGGGCTGGGCAACAAGCAATCCAGGCATCGCCAGCGCGCAGGCGCGGATAAGTGGCGACCAAGAGGCTCAAAGTATGATGGAGCTCTTAGCCCGCGCCAATTTAGTCCGGCACGACGATAGTACTGGCCACGGGCTAGGACTCTCTGGAGGGCCATTAACGGGCCCTGCAGAGCTTACAGGAGGAAATATTTTTGAGAAAAACTTTTTCCCTCAGTCCCAAAGTCCAGAGCCAATTGACGTGAGAAGCAGCGCAAAAGATGAAGGCAAAATGATACAGACGCAATTATCGCCCAATGTTGGGTCGAAATCTTTTAACAGCTCCGAAGAGGCATTCTCAGAAACGACTGCAAGAGATGAAATGAAAAACCGGTCTTCTAATGTTGAAATCCCCCCAACGAAGCGAGAACAAACCCGGGAAGAGCATGTTTCTGCTGGCCTGTCTCCCACAATCGCTGCCCGGCGTATGAGTTTGAAACGAACATATACCGATACATCACCGCTCACTCTTCAGTCTAAGCTAATGGAGGCAATGGCACAGCCTTATATCCCCACGGAACAGAGCAGTCAGAATCAGCTGCTCCTAGCATCGGTACCCTCATTATCGCACCCTATCGCCCCAGTGCCAGGATTTAATCGCGCTGGGTCGACAGTTCATAGCCATGCCAGTCGTTGGGCGCCGGCGGCGCAAGCAATCTTTACTACGGAGGCGACCGCTCCGTGGACGATTCTGGCAGCTAACGATTTGGCGTGCCTTGTTTTTGGGGTCACGAAAGCTGAAGTCCGAAAGATTGGCATAATGGAAGTCGTGCGCGAAGAAAGAAGGAAATGGCTCGAGGAAAAATTACAATCGCCGGGGTCGGACGCGATAATCGCAAAAATGAAGCCATCTTTTAGCCAAAGTCAGCGCACAAGTCCGAATCCAACCACGTCATTGGCAGTGGGCCGTGGTGTCACAGCGCAGTTGCTCAGCAAGCCCTCCTCACGACAAATCGCAGAAAGGAGAGCGCAGACTGACGATGGCAGCGGTTCTACTTTTGTAAAGAAAAGGACATCAAAAGGGGGATCAAATCATGCAGCCAATAAATCTAGAGGGGTGTTACTCTGCGGTGACGTCGTCCCAATTCAAAAGCGCAATGGCGCGATTGGGTCTGCTAGTCTTTGGGTGAAGGAGAAGAGAGGTGGCTTGATCTGGGTGCTTGAAGAAATCCGTGAAGACGTTGCATATCTGTGTCTTGATGAGGGCGGCTGCGTTGCGAAAGCAACGGGGGCTGTTGAGGCAATCTGGGGAGAAGATCGCGTGAAAGTCGGAATGGACATTGGACGACTCATACCACAACTTCCACGGATGCAAAGCCCTAAAGCGGGCGAGATTGACATAGCACGCGTTCTAGAGCTTCAGAGGTTTTGCGCACGAACTGCGAGCGGCATAAACATTCCATTAAGTGTGGATCAGATTTCTGGAAAGCATGAGTTTAGGATATCCAGTTTTCCTCATATTGCCGGCATCATGGTTCTTTCTCCATCGGACCTTAGAATCACGAGTTCAAATCCGGTATTCTCTGCCGCATTGTTTGGCCAACCACAGCCAGATGGTTTGCGCATCACCGATCTGATACCGGACTTTGAGCGCTTATTGCGGATACTAACTGAGGAGGACAAAGTTCAACTAGTTGACGGCGTCGTGATTCCGGAACACAGCTTTAGGAGAGCAAGGGCCTTGATTGCGCTGCGTGACGGAAAGGCCGATGCTGCTGCTATATTTCTCCGTCCTGTTGGCCTTGTCGCGAGACATCGAGATGGATCGGAGATCAAAGTCGACGTACAGATGCGAGTGGTAAAGAGTGACAGTTTTGGACCTTTGATGGACGAAAATGTCATCGCGGAAACCTCAGAAGATGATGAAGGGGACTGGGCTACCAATGAGGAAACGCCCCTTACGGAAGTGGTATACGCTTTGTGGATAACCTACTCAAGGCAACTCCACGGAGTGGCTCAAATTATTGAGCCAATGACGCCATTAGAATCGACACCACCAAGTCCGCCTCACCAGCCATCTCCAGGTCAGTCAGTCCGCGACCCGCAGCTCGAAGACTCCGTTCTCAGCTCGCCAAAGACCGCGAGCTCGGATTCACTTCTCAGTCAGCAGATCCAAGAAACTGCAGCAGGCCAAAGCAGTGCGAAGACTTCAGATGGACTACAAAAACCCGAAGTTGCGGAACCAAAACAATACAATGCTATAGACGAAAGAGATGCCCACAAGAAAAAAACCATATCAGATTTTGTAATACTTGAAGATATGGGACAGGGCGCCTACGGACAAGTAAAGCTTGCGCGTTACAAGAAATTCCCTTCCAAGAAGGTGGTTTTGAAATACGTTACGAAACGACGCATTCTCGTTGATACCTGGACGCGGGATAGGCGGCTAGGGACAGTGCCTCTTGAGATACATGTTCTTGATTATCTGAGGCGCGATGGGTTGAAGCATCCAAATATAGTGGAAATGTCGGATTTCTTTGAAGACGAAATCAACTATTACATTGAGATGGTCCCTCACGGCATTCCCGGAATGGATTTGTTTGATTATATCGAACTTCGGGTCAACATGGAAGAAGCAGAGTGCAAGAGCATCTTTGTGCAAGTTGCAAATGCCATTCATCACCTTCACACTAAAGCCTTAGTCGTGCATAGAGACATAAAAGATGAGAATGTGGTTCTCGACGGGGAGGGCAACATCAAACTCATAGACTTCGGAAGCGCCGCTTACATCAAGAATGGTCCTTTTGATGTGTTCGTTGGGACTATTGGTATGATAATACTGTGATCCCTTCCTCCGAGTCCATCTAACAAAGTTGCAGATTACGCAGCGCCAGAAGTGCTTGCCGGCAAATCGTATCGCGGGAAAGAGCAGGATGTTTGGGCGCTTGGCATACTTCTTTACACGATCATTTACAAGGAAAACCCTTTTTATAGCATCGACGAAATTATGGATCATGACCTTCGCGTTCCATATATCATGAGCGAAGACAGCATTGATTTGATTAGGCTTATGTTGAACAGAGACGTGGATCAACGAATATCAATATCACAGGTGTTGGAGCACCGGTGGTGCCAAAGCCAGGCTTGATGAAAATGAGCCTCAAACCTCTTTAAAGGTGGAAACAGCTGGCGATACTCTGGAGAGGAAAAGCTGTGTCACCTCATTTAGAGTTGAAAGTTCGGTGGTTGGTGAAGTAGAATATAAGATACCCTAGAGAAGCTATGGAGGGCAGCTTGGTAGCGGCTTGCCAGTTTTTCTGTCTCACATACATTTACGAAATTTACGCTTGAGTGGTCATGATGCATTGCTCGTGTTCAGATTTTTGGATGCTGTAAATTAGAATATAAACCATTTATTGCGCGAAAGAATTCTAAGAGAGACCCACGAGGAATGAAGCTGTCAACTTGAAACGAGAATCGGTCGTCGAACGATCCAATATTCCACCAATAATTTTTTCAAAAATTTAACATTGACAAGTTCTACGAAGATTAAATGAGATTCGTTTAAGAAAGACGTAAAAGCTATGAGTATAAGTATTCCACCCACGCAACCAATTATGTGAACCAGTCAAGTCAGAACCCTGGAGTCCTCGACGAAGACGCGAATGATGAACACCGAAAACGCCGAGGATAATGCTCGCGAATGGAAATAGTAAGCAACAACAGTTTCAAAAGCTAATGACTGGTCTCCTTCATTCTTCGAAGAAACCACCATCGCTTTCCTCCGCCGAGCCTTCCTGCCGTGTATCACTTGCGTTCAGAGAGGTCTCCTTCCGGTTTGCCAACTCGCTGATATTGTCCGTTCTCTTGCGTTTCTCCTCGCGAACAGGCCCGGAAGCAATTTTTCTGCTTTTTGATTGGCCTATCTCTTTACGAGATCCGTTGCGAAGCTCATCCAGGGAACCCTCTCCCATTCGTCTCTCTATTTCTCTCCACATGGGCCCGTTTTGACGACCTTCAATGCCTTGCGTCATGCTGTTCTCAGCCGATGTTATATCTTTTCCGGCGTAGAGACTCGTGTATTTTTGATCGAGAGGGTAAAAGAGTGTGTAATTTAAGTCCACCTCTGCTGTGTGGATTTCGGCTTTCAGGGCCTCCGCATCTGATGTCGAAGCAGCGACTGCAAGGCGACGTTGGAGCTTCTTCAAAATTCGAGTTGCTTTTTGGCGTTCTGGTGGTGAAAACGTCAATCTACGCACAGTTTATAACCTTAAAGAATGACAAAAATACATACCAAAGAAGCGAACCATATGGTATTTCTTGATCATCTTTTGACGCCTTCGGTCAGCCTCCGCAGTCGCCAATTCATGTTTGGAGGCTGCCAAGGCCCGCTCATATTCTATGCGTATATCTGCGCGGAGGTTCTCCGAGCGTTCCAGGAGCCTTGACACATCACGAATTTTTTTCTTCAAGCCATTGACAGAAACATGTCGCTGGATCTCACGACTTGACTCCAGGACTTTCCGATCCCGATTAGATTTGGGCAATCTGTGCTGTGGGCCTTTATTCTTCTGGATGAAACTCATTGTTTTAACTGCGAATGTGTTCAAAGAAATTTATTTGAGTGATGTGACCCCTTCCCCAAAGATAAGTAGCGAACCAAATCAGTGGAAGAAATTAATTGCACATGAACAGATTCTATGACAAATCACATCAGACCCCATAAGGTTACCCTGAACACCACCCCACAATGGGATCTCCCGTAGTAGCTTAAACGGGGAGCTTGAGTAAAGCATCAAGTACTGATAGTGTTCGCATAACGTGGTCAATCAGCAGGACCCTTTTGCAGCGCGAATTCGGCCAATCAAGCTCGAAGTTTTGATTTCTGATTATCCTCTGTGATGCATTATTGAAAACAAATTTATGGAGGCTTGATTGTTGATCAGAAAATGCCAAAAAACTCCCGATACTTCCTGAGTTCATACACTTAGCTTGTTCGCATCTATGTGAGCCTGCAGAGACAGCGCTGAGGCTTCACCTTGAACAGAAACTGGCCCTTTTAGTTCGATTCTTTAATGACGAAACGCCTCTCATATCCACATAAAGCGCTGGCAGATTGTCGTACCCGACCCGACAGCAAACTCAATGGAAACGGCAATACGTTGGTCGGCTGTATCATCTGCCCCTCCTCATCATTTCGTACTGGTGGACTTGCTAGGCCACAAAGTCAAACTTAATGAGGTCACCTCAGATCGCGGCGAAGATCTAGAATATCGACAGCTCTCTCAACATTCCAAATTTCCCGAATTCAGGGCCTTCGATTGGTGTCCAAGTAACGAGGCGCTTTTAGCAATCGGGCTTCCTTCAGGCACGACAACCGTCTTAAAAATCGATGAGGATGCAAACGAAAGCTTTTCCTTTCCGATAAAGAATCAGCGTTACTGCAATGCTGTGGCATTCAATACCCAAGGACTTCTTGCTGGAGGCCTAGAAAAAGTTCGAAATGATTTCTGTTTGAATATTTGGGACGTTAATCAACGCTTGTCGAGCCCGGATACCGATTCTGGTCGGCCTCAAGTCGAGCCTGTCCGAAAGCTTTGTACCTCTGAGGCAGTATCAAGCATTAGGTTTTTTGTTGACCAACCAGACACGCTCATTGCGGGTGTAGGCCGACAATTTTTACGGATATACGATCTAAGAGGTTGAACACTTTTATCAGTCATGAGTTTCTATTGCTGACTAACCCTTTCAGATTATCCCGGAAATGCAGCAATCCAGTTTCCTACTCGGCGAGTAAATAACTTAGCCATTGACCCACTAGACCAAAATTACTTTGCATCAGCGGGACCTCAGGGCGACCCAACTGTATGCATTTGGGATCGTCGTTTTACTTCTACATCCAATGCCGTCATGTCACCGTCAGGGACCGGTTCCGCCGAGTTGGGCCAATCCCGGCCGGTCCTTGAGTTTCGAAATGCTATTGATACCTCCAATGTTTCTGCATCCCCGAGCATCTGGAGCCTTCGATTCGCCCGGGCGAAGAAGGGTTCTCTTGGTATTTTATCTAGCACTGGCGAATTGAAGGTGTTTGAGATATCAAAAAAGAGTGTCCATCTGAGTACTGGGCCCAACCGCGATAGTTCTCCCCCAGGCGGCAATTTCACGGAAGAGCCATACGTTCGACGGATTCGCAATGTCCAGCGACCATATTATGACCCTTTTCGCAAGCAAGAGCCTACGTCTCGTGTCGTATCCTTTGACTTTACTTTCGCGAATGACGCTGTCGAAGGATACCAATGTATGGGTCTCCGCGCAAATGGTCAGATCCAGATTCTGAGGCTCAAGCCGCCACCACCTCCAGTCTCTTTTTCGTCGCAGGGTGAGCTCTTCCTTGGACGAAATGAAACTCCAAAAACCAATAGCGCGACGCCACTAGAGAGCAATATGGTGTCAAGCAAGGGGTTTACTGTCTACGGCTTAGATCGGTCGAAGAGATTCTCGATTGTAGACAAGTTTCGAAATATTAACTCCGGTCCTCAGTATTCGGAATCAACACCTGAGATATCAAACATATCTGGAGGCGGGATTAGCAAGGAAATTACTGCGCCGAAATATAGGTCCAGTCGTGAAGCGCACGAGGCTCTTTATTCGTTTACGCCGCAAATCTTCAAAATGAGTAATCCTGCAGCCTTGTATCCAGGAACCGTCATGCGTTGTCGTTGTGACGGAGGATATCTTTTTGACTGCGAGAAAAATCAAAAAATTGTCTCTGAGAATCCTTGGCTTCAGGAGATGTGGGCTTGGATAGGTGGTAAGATTCCAATCAATAGACTCCTAGGAATGTGGCTAACGCTACGTGCTCTTAGGAATGGATGAGCTGGCTGAAGATAAAGCTACCACGTATGAGATGATGGATTTTAGTTTTCTGGGTGTCCATGCCATATGGCATAATACACTCGGTAAGAATTACTCTTGAATACTCTGGTCACTTAAGCCTCGTCCTTCCTGTTGACGGATATACACGCAGGTCCGAACCCGGAGGCCCGCAAGATTCCTTCAGATGGAAACCCCCATACTAGGTATACGGATGCTATCATTGCATTGAGAATGCAGCTGGAGTGCCCTCGTTTTGAAGGAATAAAAACGAGATATCCGGACCACCGTCAAGTTTGTCTTGCTATATGTGGTTGGGGTCAGTCAGAACAACGACTCAAGACGATCATTCAGCAACTGGTCCGGCAGGGAAAGCATACCAAAGCAGCGGCCTGGGCGCTTTTCCACAATCAAACCAATTTGGCTGTAACTGCACTGACCAGACCGACTGCCACCGAAAGCCACAAACTGTTGGCGATGGGAATAGCTGCTTACAATAATGTTGGTGGATTCAGAAGAGATCCGAATGATGAAGCTTGGACGACACTTTGCCGGGATATTGCAGACTCTTTGGACGACCCTTATTCGAGAGCCATTTTGGCGCTCGTAAGCAATGGGGACTGGAAATCAGTCATAGCAGAAATGTCTCTGCCACTAAGGGACCGCCTTGGCGTAGCTTTGAAGTTCCTGAACGATGAGGAGCTCACAAAATTCATTGACTCCGAGACTAGCAACTCTATTCGCGCTGGTGACATCGAAGGGATTGTCCTTACTGGACTTACAAGTCAGGCAATGGATCTTTTCCAAAATTATATCGCAAAGTACAATGACGTACAGACAGCGGTTCTTGCGATGTCGTATACCAATCCGACTTACGTCAGTGACTGGCGCTTCTGGCACTGGCGGGAATATTATCGCGATGCCATTAATTCCTGGAAATTGCATATTCATCGCGTCCGTTTCGACGTACAATCAACCAAAAAATCAGAAAATTGGGACGATGGCGTTCGCATACCCCCACCTCCACGGCAAATTACCTTGCGCTGTATTCATTGTAATGGAGCTTTCGCAAAAGAGGACGAAGAAGCAGATGTCTCAGCTACAGGAGGAAGCGCCTCTAGCGCGGTTCCAGCAGGAGAACAGCCTGGAGAATTGAAGAGCTATACCCTTGGTGGACCCGGCGCATCTGCAGGCACAATTTGTCCGAAATGTGGACGTCACCTGCCAAGATGTGGTGTCTGCATGATGTGGCTTGGTACCCCAGATGTCTCCACGCCTGGTGGTGCTGCTGCGGTCGAAAATGAGGATCCCATGACACGCTTCCTCACTTTCTGTCTCTCCTGCAATCATGGGTATCACTCGAATCACGCTCGTGACTGGTTCGCGGTTCATAAAGTTTGCCCTGTTGCAGACTGCCAGTGTCTTTGTGCTGAGCATCGCTAAGCTTGCCACTTAGGCATCATTCCAAGGCCTTCACTTCTGGCTTTGTATTTTCTTCACGGGTCGGCTGTGGAAAAATTTACAACCTAAGTTTTCTACAAAAGAAGCTCATTGTGATCGAAACAGCTTGCAGGCGGTTTTGGACTCTTATCACCATTTAAATTCCCTTGTTGAAGATTTTCATGATACCCATGTCATTTCATTTTTTTTTTGTATTAAAAAGATTTTCCGCCAAAGAGTTATTGCTTTGAGACAGTCGTGTACACCATGGATTGATTGGAATTATGTAGTGAAATTGATCTTGTCGTCATCCAATATGTAGCTTGCGTAACTTTCTCACCTTAATAAGAATATACAGAAATATCACATCATGATTTTCCAGCGTTTACGTCCGTAGATGAAGCATCAGCTCCTAACGATAATTACATGAACTGCTCAAGTGGTGCGCTGTGCACAGCTCCGCTTTGCCTCGCAGGCTCGCATAAGACGTAATGACGAGATGAGTTTTTGGTGCCAAATATTAATGGCATATTACTTCTAATGTTGCCATTTCCTTAGGCTATAATATGATCATACCGAGAAGACCAATTGAGTACCTCTGTAGTATGGCTAAGGAAAGAGTCCCGATGCGGACCAAGAACAAACGTGTGGACTGCTCCTCGCCCTGACTTGAATTGGCGAAATTTCTCAGATAATTAAGAATTACAGAGCAAAATGAATGCATGAGATAGGAATAAATTGCAATTCTGATCAATGAGAATGAACTGATCCCAACGATCCTTGAAACTGCCAGCATTTGATTCATCGCTATAACGCCAGCAGGTGCAAGTCGACGCGCTTAAGCGAAGCGAAGCAATTTTCGGAGTTGGAACTCGGAAGTGTATGCGCTCGGAGGCGACTATTAAAGACCTATAACTTATGGATATTGAAAGAATCACCTGGTGAATTCAATCATGCCGGGAAAAGAGAAGCCGCGCGATGGACGAGGCCGAGGAGGCCAGCCTTCACGGGAAGTCACAGTATCTAAAGCAATCAGTTGGTTGCTCAGACATGGTGCTGAGAAAGAGGGCCTCAAGCTTGATGCGCATGGTTACCTAAATGTCGCAGATCTGGTAAGATAAGTGCTTAATCTCTAAGCCATCATTACCCTTGTATCCTGACACTTTTCATTGTTTCAAATAACTTCCTGTACTTGATCAGTATCATCAAGTTTTTTTTGGCTTCGGTTCATCTTCTTCTCGTCCCGTGAAATATTTGACGTTTGTTGTTTGGTTGAGCCTTTCACGCTATTTCGTTCTGCTTTAATGCTTCCTCAATGGATTCGTTATTTAAATTTGGTTTTTTTTATACGATATTGACTTTCTCACTTACTTTCTCATCGTTGTGCCACTTTTCCATTATCTTTCGAATGATCTCGTCTTACGCATGGACAACAGTTGGCATGGCGAAAATTGAAGAGTCTGGGCGTAACACTCGATGAGCTGAAACATATCGTTGCTGATAACGACAAACAACGATTTTCAATGATTTCTGTCCCGACAGCCCCGGTCCGAGACACCCAAGGAGTTGAAACTCACAATTCGGCAGGAGAGAACCCCGCTCTGACGGGTGATCCTAATTTCCCTTCTTCTTTCATGATTCGAGCCAATCAAGGCCACAGCATCCGGGTGGACTCGTCCAAACTTCTTGCTCCAATCACGGAAGAGGATATACCTCCAGTTGCCGTCCATGGAACTACGCATGCCGCTTGGCCGGTCATTCTATCTTCCGGTGGTCTTCAACGAATGAATAGGACGCATATCCACTTTGCGCGTGGATTGCCTGGCGGATCAGACCGTGTCATCTCCGGCATGCGCAGAGACTCGCAAGTTTTGATATACGTTAACGTCAAGGCTGCCCTGCAGTCTGGCATCAAATGGTGGCAAAGCGAGAATGAGGTCATCCTCACCGAAGGTGACGAGAAGGGGTGTCTGCCGCTGAAGTTTTTCGAGAAGGTCGAGGAGAGACAGAAGGGCCTGGGGATTCTCTGGGAAAGAGGCAATGAAGTGCAAAGCTTACCAACTAGTCTTATTTCGGCTGGAGCAAAAGAGAAGAAGAAGAACAAAGGTAAAATTCAAAGCTCGACGAAGGACCAGAGCGCAAAAGATGCCCGTGACGACACTCAGATCACAGATGTCCGGGACGTATGAACTGAGAATTACCCGGTCATCTTTGATCTAATTTGCTCCGGTCGCAAGACATTTGCATCTACAAATCAATCTAAACCAAGTTGCAACAGTAAGTGCGCGGTTGGGAGGGTGGAAGAGCGGTTTTATATGGAGTATGGCATTGTATGAGCCAAAAAAGTCTTCTATCTCTAGGAAAAGAACGGCAGCAAAGGAACCGTAAGGATATCGACAAGCGCTAACAACATTAACTCAATTCCGCTTAGAGCACGCTTCTAAAATGTCAAATTTGTGCGCCAATGCAAAAGAACCTGAGATCATGAAAGGTCATTATTCAATGTCATGCCATGTCCATGTACATTTAGAAGCTGGTTTCCCTCTTAGAAACCATGAAAGCTATCCTTGTGCCGTCTAGCCCTCATTCAATTCCATCTCCCGGGATGTCTTCAGGGCTTGATCGGACTTTATTAGTAAAGACAGCACTGAAAGGACCGGCGCTGCCGGCCCTAAGACGCCCTACGGGACTAAACTGTGGAGTGCTAGTGACCAGATGAGGCTCACGGCGTTCCGGACGCCGAAGCGCAGATCCGGTATCTGACGCAGCAGCAGATCGATCTACGAGCCTTCGGCTGCCGGTTCTGAGGAATGAGTTGGTGGGTAACTGAGACATGATTGATGGTGTAGAAGTATGAATGTAATTACTACGTAGAGGAGTGTTGGGAGCGCCTTGCGTTGTCATCGTGGAACGCTGACCAGGAAATGATGATCGGAAGGAGAAGTCCTTCGGTGTGTTCTCTCTGTGATTGTTTGTTATCTGGCCAAGGTCTGTCATGGCTCGTGAAGGGGCACGATTATCGCCATTGTCATCATCGACCCTCCTACGCCGTAGCAGACTACCAGTTGTCCGCTTGGGTCTGCTGAGAATCGGCGTCGACGCTTGTGTGGGGGTGACGCTTGGGCGCATTGATTCTTGGAAGTGGGCGTCCTCCGCAGCAATAGTGCTCTGCCGTCGAGTATCAATCGGGGCTAAGCCCGTTGTAAGGTTCGAACGCATCGAACTTGGGCCATCCAGGTCTTGATTAGCTTGATAGTGCCGCATAGGGACAGAAACGTCAGAGCGAACGTCGAAATCGCTGGTTGACGCTAAAGATTGCCCTCTGCTCTCAGAATGGATACTGGGCGATGCCTGAGGTACGTCTAAAGGCTCAGTCCCAGCTTTGCCTTCAGATAATGTGATGCAAAGTTCGGTCAGACTCCGACACAAGCTTTCAGCTTTCCTTCTCAATCTGCGCTCTACCCCTGCAGCGCTGCTGCTTACAACAGAGATCGGACTCTGTGGGCGACCTTGCATCCCAGTGCTTCCTGTCATACTCGCCAACGAGAGGGCGTCGGAAGCAACAGCCTCTAGTGCTCGATAGACCTCTCCGCTTATCAGAGTTTTGGACTTCTTGAGAGCTGCCTGAAGCAAGGGATGTGCACTGGATCCTGAATAATCACCGCTAGACGGAGCTGCACTGGCAACAGTTCCAGCACGAGTCCTTCGAGTCGAGCTAGAGAAGGGGGCAGCTGTATGTGGGCTTTCGCCATGCGCGGTATCCACCGCTGATGTGGAGGACGGAGAAGGCAGAGAACCAGTTAGTTCGAGCTTGCGAATCCGGGACTTTAAGTCATCTAACTCGTCCCAAACCGTCGACGGCGCTGCTGTTGACACCGTAGATTCTGTATCATCGTCTTTTTCGCTAGTTGCGGAACCTTCCAGCTCAGAGTCGAACGAGTTCTGCGCTAGGGGAGAGGATGTATAATAGCCTGGCATTCCATTGGAAAAGGTTGAATGACGGTATCTTTTCGAGGGAGGCACATTGGCCTGTGAAGATTCTGAAAGAGAGATTTTCCGCCGTTGATAAGAAGAGTTCTCCGGTGAGGGCCCAGCTTCAGGTGTTGTCCGTGAGAAATTTAAAGACGTTCGCGATGAGAGGCCATGACGAGATATCCGGGATCCTTCCGTGAAGGATTGCGCCGGAGACTGACTTGATGCTGCAGATAGCGGAGATTCGCAGTTGATATCCGAAGAGAAACTATATGTGTTCCCGCGATTGTGACGGTGCAAACTTCGTGTGCTTGGAGAATCGTATCCTTGAAGAGCCGGGCTTGATCGATGAGGATTTGATGAAGCGTATGCGCTAGAAGGAAGGGACACGCGATGACTTGCGAGGCGGAGGCGTGACTTCTCAGAATGACAATGTCAGTACAGCTAGAGTAGCAGCTCTGGACGGAACAAATGAACATACTTTTCTACGCTCACTCGGCAACGCGTCCTCTGCTTCCCGGCGTGCCGAGTCCCCGATGGCGAGATTTAAAAAGAGATCTTCCTTGGTTGAATGAGAAGACTCTTTTTGTGTCGGAGTTTCTGGAATCTGAGAGTGTCCCTCCAAAGCGCGGAGTGTTCTATCACGATCATCCAATTGCGTGTCTGCCACACCCCGATCCTGGGAATCAATTTCCATATTCGCTGAGATACACGGACTTTGTTGACTGATTTAAGATATATCTGCCGCGCCAATGCAGGACCCTTACCCTTTCCCTTCCACTTTGAGAGCTTCGAAACACTCAGTGGGAAACAGAGACCGGGTTCGTAATTGAACTGTGTGTACACGGATCCGTGAATTGTGTCAAGAGGGGACGCTTTTCGAGGGTGAATATAGCTTCGAGTCGTTACTTTATTCTCCCTGAGATTGTCTTCCACTTAAGATTAACTTGTTTTGCTCTACTGAGACAGCTACTCTTTCCTCAACAGGAAACGGAATTAGCGCAGCAGCACGGAGGAAGCTACTGTAAAAGTAGGGAGGAACGAGAGAAAGCCGCTGGAAAGAAGAAAACGAATGGCTTCGCCGAAAGACGCGAATTTGCACGATCTAATACTGAAAGTGAATGCTGGAACGCGTGAAAGCTCAGAGTGTTTTCCACTCTGCAAGCTCCATCTGTCAAGTAATTTGCCCAAGGTTTATTGTGAAGGCCGTCGCGTTGTCGAGACGTTCATAAGCGACAGGATCCACTTGGGCATAGAAATGCAGACATGTTTGATCCCACTAGCGTTTGAGATTATGACGGTCTTTGACAAGCGCATGGTGATCTAAATGCTGCCATGAAAGAGTCTTTGCTATTCATTGAATCTGGGGCCGCCTCTCTCTGTTGTGCGAAGCGCTGGCATATAAGATATATTGTTTAGTTGAAGACTCTAGACCACAATTTTGCAACGCATTTCTATCTAAGGAAGAGGGTATTTATGGACAATGCACTGCTGATGGCAAGCTCCGCAATAAGTGATTTTTTCCCCCCTCATCACATTATTTTTTATCATCTGCACTCTCTTGGTACGTGACTTCAGGAATATGTTTTTCTTCACTTTGCAGTGGTATATTTATTTTCTGGCCAGATGAGATCAAGATGCGCGACAGCTCGTTCCACGCGTCGTACACGCGAGAGACTTTCCCTTTGATGGACATGACGAGTCAGTCGTGCACATTTTTGGTTGCAGAAAGGAACTAAACCAAATGCGCGACATACTACCCGGGATAGATAGAGACTCTTACCAGACTCTTCGGCTTTGTTTGATCGGCCCTTTTTAAAACCTTGTATTGATTTTTATATCTGATGCCGAAAGCATGTGCTCACTGCAAAAGTACAGGAGGTCGAAAATGGGTAAAAGGCCTTTGATAAATGTCATCTGGGATGGGAATTGGTGCTCCGTGATCATCAACGCTAGCAGCACCGGTCTGGAATCGGAAGCCATCAATAATATGGTGGCTCAAGACATATGTCAAATGTAAGTCCTGTTTCCTCCCCGGTTGGAAAAAGTAGGTTAGGTCTATTAGCAACGAGGTTGGTGGAATATTCGTAATCTGGGGATTCTTGACGGCGAATCTAGTTTTGGGCGGTCCTTGTCCGCGTTCGAGGGTTTATGCATCCTTTGCGGGTTGCGGGTCGCGGATCGCGGGCGAGAACCCTGGCGGTGCTGTCGATCTTTTATATGTGGACTCAGCCTCGTGCAAGGGTCTAGAGTATACATAAGAGGCTGTAAATTTAGATTTTTATTTTATTGTTGGTCTTGCAAACGGCAAATCCGAGACTATGGCGGAACGAAGCCTCTAGGGATTTTAGGAAGATAACCCAACATCGAATCTTGATGCTCAAGTAATATATTCACAAGTGGCTCAGCTTTACTGTAGGAGAAAGATTTGTAGGATGATACGCATTATCTGCAGGCACTGCTCGTCTTAATTTCATATTGCAATATCAGTCCAGCTTGCTGTCAGCAGCCAGTGAGATACCATAATGCATAGCATATTAGTAACATTATAGCCCATTCAGGATGGCTTGTTAGTCTGGATGAGACATAGCCCAGTTCGCAGCAGGCGGTGCACCGAAAAATAGCACGTGTGCAGTATGTACAGGGGCAGTAGTCGTGTTTCCACTCAGTGTATTCGGTCAAGCGGCGTCATTGCCCTCTTCCTGACGAATTGAACGCTCGAGTAGCAAGGGTACCGGATTTTTGGAAAAAAAAAAAAAAAAAAAAACCTCTTCTTTGGGATTCCGGCCGCCCCCCCAATTCAGTGCAAAGTGGGTGGATGGACACTGAATGGACACATTTAGCCTAGGAAGCGTGCAAACCTTCGGACCGATCGGTCTGCACGGCTAAACCGTTTTGCATGAATTTAAGAATCATATTGAACAACATCCCGTTTCATGGTACGGTACAACACCTTTATAAAATCTGGCAAAAGGAAGAAAATACCTGCGAGGAGACGTTGTTCTAGTGTAGATTGACAGTTAATTCATGACGGCCAAGTTGCAATCATTCCCCGAAAGGACCCTCGGACGATCGGCTATAACATGGAGAATGAGCTGCATTAGAGCTCGTAGCGAGAAATCGAACTATTTTTATCTGCTTGTCGAAGTGGCTGCGTATCGAATAGAGGCCAAAAAGATTGTCTGCGGGTTGGGCTCCACTCTAAAGAACGACTACGGAGTAAATGGAGTATGATGACTGGAGGAGATTCTCTTCAGGGTTAGTTGAGTAGTAACTTCTACGTAGGTAGACATTTATTATTACGTTAGACAGAAATGCCACTAGGTACCAAAGTATACGCATATACTCTAGGTAGATACAATCGACAACTCTCCCCAGATGGGACGATCAAGCGTTGAGGCGCAAAGGGAAAAAAAAAGTTGCAAATAAAAAAGAGTCAATTGAGTTGCTTTGGCAGAGAAGACATGATTCTTGCACGGCTTGAAGACTGCTACAATTGCACTGACGGTTTCAGCGAGGATGATACGGTGGGGGCGTGGAGGCCTCAAAGGGCCTCGGCCTCTTATGGAGGTGGCGCATCTGAAACCGCTTGGCGTCTTCGTCGTTCAATCCGCTCTCGAGGGTCTGTACTTGTACTGGTGTCTTGTCCGTCCTTGGGTCGGCCTCTACCAGCTAGGCCTTTTCTCTTTTCAACAGGTACTTTGGGTATACACCATAATTGAGGAACCTACCTCATTATCTACCTACATTTCGGGGCTAAGAGAAAGTACATTTTAATATTGTTTGAAATGTGAATTTGGCAGGTACGAGTGGTTTATCGAGCACGGGAGCTATACCAGGTTAGGTATTATTCTTGACGGGTTGGACGCATCAAAACCCATCTCGCGTCTCCCTTCCCCCCTGATACTTGAAGAAGAAAAGGCGAAGAAGCCAATTTAGTCAGGCTAAGTTCCTCCGTAGTCACCAATGCTTGGCAGCGCCCGCGGCAGTTACATTCCCTCATACAAAGTAATCCGTACCACATCCGTCCCTTTCTCCTCTTCTCTTGCGAGTGAAAAATGATGATAAGTTTTGGCCCTTTCCAAGACTATGTTGCTAATTGAAGGGGAGAGAGAGAGAGAGAGAGAGAGGGGAAAAAAAAAGGAAAAGGTAAAGTATCTAAACTAAAACGATCGTGGGGGCCGTACTGTGATCTGCGTGTGTAGTATGGGGGCCCTTCGCCCCTCTCCCATTCACCCCGCCCTTGCTCTCTCGCTCTCTCTCTCTCTCTTTTCGTTGGAGAGTTGCGCCGGTGTCTGCGTCGTTGCCGCCTCCCGTTCGAGGACCCGGGGTTGGTATTTTTAGCCGTGTTTCGTCTTTTCGCGTTGCGCGGTCGATCCTGTCCCCTGACTCCGAGCCCCATTGGCTCGAGGCTCATCGGATGTTAAGCGCTCATGGCTGACAATCCCAGTACCATGAGATCTTCTTGGCGACTTTTGCTATTCTTATGATTATTCGAGAGTACACCCTATACTCTACTTTCTCACTATTGCCTCGACTTCTCCTCGTTAATCGCAGCTTCTTTCAAGTTTTGCCTCTCAGTTGCGACCATCCCTGGCTCACCCAAGCAGTTGTCTTTGGGTCGCTCCTTCCTCTCAACCTTTATTCTTCCTCTCTACGACTCCATCCTCTCCATACCCATTATCCAACTTCCTCGACTCAACGTCATTCGTGGGCCACGTTATCGAACTCTCCTCTCCATATTTGCATTATTCAGTACTTGTACTTGCACTTGTCCGACGGATTGACTCGTCGCCTTGCTGGCAGGAGCGGGGTCTTCATCATCGCCATTCTTCCCTGGCAACAGTGCATTTGCGCGACAATAAGAACCTCAACCTGACAAAGTGTCTGTCAACCATCATCGCCTTAAACAATCCACCATAAAAACGAGGCTGTCGGTCGTTGCGCTCTGCTTTCTCCCCCCCAAAGTGCTTAGATAGATCGGAAAGCATATTACATTCTCACTGGGGCTGGCACCTCGCTGGCGATACGGTACGCTGCTTCCCTTTTGTTTCTCCTCGCCTCCTCCTTTGCTCTTTTCTTTTAGATCTTCTCCTTCATGGCTTGAGGAACGTGCGCTGTTGGGTCAGACGAACCACATCTATTTAAAGACTGCTACGACTTGCTTTCAACGCCGCCAAATGCCGCACTCCCTTGAGGTCCACAATCCGTGCAATCAATACTACACCTCCACAACATATACATAAATCCTGTCGAACGGAACCTATAAACTCCCGAAATATTCACTAACTGGAAGCTCTAGAGGGAAAACGTGCTTCATATTTCATTATTACGACCTTTACCTCTATTTATTCAATCCATACACTACAGTCTCGGCAGATCGACCTTTGTCCTTCGCACGTTGCTTTCACTGCGTGGCATTCGTGCCCGGTGACTATGCCGATCCAAACAAGCTCCCGCTCGCCGCTTGCATCTCTGCCATCGCTCATGTCAGTATTCGGCGAGCATCCAAATATGTTAAAGCTTGAAGAAGAGCGTTCTTCCTCATTACGCTCTCCCTATCGACCATCAGATAGGCATTTTGACACGAATTACCAAGCGCAGCTCCCCAGCCGCGATCACACTTCAATATCTGCCCCAGAATCTGCAGACTCTTCTCCAACAACCACAATATCCACCTTGGATTCCGCCATGACAGAACCTTCGTCTAGCTCATCGACCGACTCTCCAGGCGCGGCTATGCCACTCTCCGCCTTCTCAGCAAAGTTCGCTGTCTCCAAAGCCATCGACGAAACTGGTTTGGAAACACCATCGAGCCCAATTGTCGCTCTGCCTAGTTATAGCCGGCCGCAATCCCCAGCGAAGAAGGCTCGCAATACGAAAAATCTTTCCCTCAACATGTCGGCGGCTACTCGCCCGGGTAGCCAGGCTGCACGCCCCAAAACTGCAATCGCCGTAACGACGACAGCATCGAACCCGATCTCATCCCCAATGTCCCCTTCATTCATAGTGCCTCCGAAACCGCCAAAAAGACGGCCGAGCAAGCTGGGCCTAACCATTACTACCCCTGCAACCTTGTCAGAACGCAGCCAGTCAATCATGCTGCCGGCCACACCTTCAGACTCGAGACCCGGGACCCTTCGCCATTTCCCCTCGTCGCCTTCACTCTCACTCTTTTCCCCCACCACTGCTCCGGCTGGCGGCATGCAACTACCCCCCCTGGCCAGTCAAGGCCATAGGGGGCGCTTTATAAGACCGATGCAGTTGCCAACTCTCGCGGCGACCTCCGACAGCGATTCAATGAGACTGTCTTTGCGCTTGGATGAGCTACAAGAAGAAGATATTGAAGAGCCCTTGTCGCATGAGGCGAAGAAGTCACCTGCATATCCTTGTGGCCCCGTGTGCGTTTACGACCCTCATGTATATCTTTACTTGGAGCCCAATGAAGTGGAGGCCTCTCAGTTTGATGTGGTCCTGAATGTGGCCCGAGAAGTGAATAATCCGTTTCTCCTCAGGAAAGAAAGGAGGGCATCTGAAGGCACTTTGGATGTCACGTCTGATGTGAGGGATCTAGACATTCGCGATGCCAGCGCAAACAGTTATGAAAAGAGACCTAAGAACGCGCCTGCAGAGGACGAGGTGGGCAAGGACGATAAATCTTCTTCGACATCTCCCTCGACACCAAAAGCCCAGCCGTCTCAACCCGAGTATATACATGTGCCCTGGGACCATAACACCAATATTGTCGACGACATGCTCAGTCTGGTCAAAGTCATTGACGATCGTGTTGCCCAGGGAAAGCGCGTCTTAGTTCATTGCCAGTGCGGTGTTAGCCGTTCCGCCAGCTTGATCGTGGCTTACGGCCTTTACAAAAACCCAGATTTGACGGTTCAGCAAGCGTATGATGCTGTCAAACAACGAAGTCGGTGGATCGGGCCCAATATGAACCTCATCTATCAACTTTCCGAATTTAGAGGCAAATTGCCTCAGACCAGCCCATCTCAAATTACCGGCCGAGGTTCCAGGCGCCTGGGCGTTCCGGGACGGTCGAACTCTGTATCTCACGGGGCCCCGTCTTCTCGGGCACTTACATCTCGTGAGGCTCCTGAAAGCGCCGGGGCGGAGCCTCAGTCGGCACCATTGCCTGTCGATCGAGATCGCACCCCGGTCGGTTCGAACCGTGTTCCCGTCCCATCTCCTCCGCAAAACTCATCAAGTGGAGACCCCGGGGACGTGAGTCCTGGCCCATCATCCGCGCCATCTGGACTTTCCTTCATCCCAATGATTTCATCCGAACATCGTAAACGATCATCATGGTATGCAGGAAGCGAGAGCAACACCACTGGTGTCAGAAACCCCAGTGCTCCTCTAGCATCAGGTATCAGAGATGCCGCGCCAAAGCCAGAAGGTCGCAGACAATCGCAGGTACACACCCAAACGCAGCCGAAAGCGCAAGATGCAACAGCATATAACGAGTCCTTGGAGCTATCACGCAATTCCCAATTTCGTGCATTAGCCCCCGTCTTCCCTGGATTCTCAGGAAACCCATCGGAATATCAACGGCCATTTCATGAAGCTGTCATCGGAACAAGCGGACTCACGCCAGCTATGAATGGGCCATTCTCCCCCCGTGCGTTCGAGTTTACAAGCAATCCGTTCCAACGAGCCTTCTCCGGCGAAGCATCATACTCTGGTTACGAGGATAGTGGCCTAAAGAGCCCAAGAATGTTTGGAAAAGATCCGAGATCACCCGCGCATAGAGGCGAAGCACCTATAACGAGAAACATATTCGATGTCTTATGAAATTTTTGTTTTTGAAGGGGGGAAATATGGGCGTCAGAACTGGAGGGTTTATATCGCATTGCTGCATAATTCGGGTTTTAGGATTCAATATCTTCTTTTGTCAGGTTATGGGAGGTATAGAGTGGATTGCAGTGTTGAGCTTGACGACGATGGGTAATTGCCGGGGCACTCTGTGCGCAACAATTGTCCCCTTGACTTATTCGAAGCATTCTCATCTGTCTTTGCCGGCATGATTGGAGCTATCGAGAATCCGCCCCATCAGCATATCCATTCATCTAGGATGTCACATTTCTTTTAGTTTTTTGAGGGGACCTGAATACCTTCGCTTTACTCCTTTTTTATTCTTTTTTTTTTTACCCCGCATATATCCTCATCAGAAGCACTTGAGCTTTTCAGGTGCATCATACCATCTTTCCAATTTCCTTTGCCATGTCCTGTTTGCCATTGACGGGCCTGGAGTCTATGCAAGAAATGGCAATACAGGGCCAGGGCTGTGCGCCTGGCGTTAGAATAAACACTCTTTGGATCTTGGGAATTGATATGTGCCATATAATTGATGCCTTACCTCAATGCTCTTTAATGTCCTGGACTTGAGTGCTCCCTTGTCGATCGATAGCGACTCAAAGTACTCCATCGATACGGCTATGGCTCTCCCTGGCAAGATGATGATAAGACTACATTTTCGCACAATCAAGATTTGAGAAGATGCTCTTCTCGACAAGAGCGAATGGCCTTTGAGCACTATTTACCGACGACTGTTATTCACACTATATCCAATCTATTATCTTTTGTTAATCCACCATCTAGAATCGAAATAGCCGCCCAAACACCAAATTTAGGTGCATCGTGAGTTTGACTCTCGCGAATCAACCTCGTAGTTCAGGTATCGCCGAGCTTTCGGCTCTATGGATGCAGTGCTCCAGGACCTCCCAAAATTTAGGCACGTCCAGCGTGCGTGGAACAGTTACTCCAGGCTCCCCAGGCGGCAGCTTTCGCGCAATTGTGCGGCCTACCTGACCCCGTTCTTGGTCAGAGTTGCTGTGCAATCCGTCCGTCACGACATCAATGAACCACCTCTCGCCACCGCGGTCATCAAATGCTGGAGCTGCATCCTCCAACAGCACGGCAGCCGGCAATGTAGCGGCCACTGCTAACGGATCGTGCAACGGCGGGCCAGCCGTCAGCCCAAAGACTTCTGCGTACGTGTGGGCGAAATAGGTGAGTAAGTCATAGAGCAGCTGGCGGAGACCTGAAGGTTTAGGTTTGATGGCCGATTCTCCTGCTGCTGCTGCACTCCCTGTTGACGAAGAAGAAGAAGAAGGGCCATGTAGAAGAAGCTGGAGCACCTCTGGGGTCGCTAGGACTTGGTGTGTCAAGTCGAGTGGGATGAGTGTCGTTTTGGCTGCCAAGACCGGATTTGTGAAGATGGATTGTGCGGCTTCTGGGTCACACTGTTTTTATGATAAAGGGTATAATGAGACTTTTGCGAAAGAGTAGGTGAAGATTTTGTGTGGTCGAATAATCAAAAGAGCGGGGGCATTTAAATGAAAAGAAGTGATAGGCACAGGTAGAAGAGCCGCGGGATATTTTGCACTTACGTATATGTTGAACTCAGCCCACCTTGTCCAATTGCCCACTCTGGGTCCTTCGCCTTTGACAACGCCCAGAGGCGCATCGCTGAACCCGTCTCCAATGGCCCCGCCCATGATGCTCAGTCCCTTGATGTGGTCTACCACTTCAGGAAACGCGGCGAATAAAATGGCAACGTTTGTCAATGTGCCTGTCGTTACGACCCAGGCTGAATTGCGCGGTTGCGCGAGAAGTGCATCGCGCATGGCTACTATATAATTCTCATTCTCCCGAGGCGTAACGCCTGGCTTGGGAAGAAGAGTGGTGCCATCCAGGCCCGTTGCTCCTGTTCAGGTGCTTGCTGGTCAGTCTTCAAGCAACGCAAGCTTCATTCAGAGACGAAGTCCTTGAAAATAGGCGGACAACTTTGGGCCCTTCTTGGCTATTTTTGGAAATTTGGATTGTTGCGGCAAACTGTAGAAAGCAAATTCTCTATTCGAAGGATAGGAAGAAGGACACAATGCGATGGAAAAAGAATCACGAACCATGAATGCTTGGTGCATAAGCAGCTCGGCGGCAGAAAGGCTTGCGGGCACCTGGATAAATTGGAATATCCGTCAGGCCTAGAGCGGTCAACACTCTTGAAGCGTTGTGCGTGGTATTCTTCAGCGAAGCATTCCCGTGAACAGTGCTTAGGCCGAGTAGCTTCAGCGCAGGGTGGAAGGCTGAAAGCAGAATTGCCACGACATCCTACATACAAAAGGCAATTGCAAGCTTTATTAGTGACCGTCATATCAAAGAACCAATGTCTGAACTTTTTCATGCCTGAAAAAATTCCATTGACAAAGGAAAAAATAAAGACTCACATCATGGCCTTTTGAAAAGTATCAGTTAGCATTCATTACTGGTAAATTACATGAGACGACGAGAGTATATCGTTAGTGGTTTGAATTTATGCTTAATTGTATGAGGAAGAAGAAAAAATTGTGCAGCTTACCAGGATCACAATCAAGCCAAATAGGAGTAGCGCTGCTGCTTGAGGTGTACGAGGGTCTCATCTTTGCAGTGGGCTGGGTGGATTAACACGAATCAGTTCTTACAGAACGCAGTTAATACATATACTCCCCGACGTTATCAAAACAACAGTAATGAGATAAGTACATGTGGTTAAGTCTATCAAGTGGCCCACTATAATGTGGAGTAAGGCAAAGTCCCTGCTTGATTACAGCTATCGTTATCGAGCTTGGCAGATAAAGCTTGATAGAGGTAATCAGCGGCTACTATCGGCATACGCCGTGAAATTATCAGGATTCGAGAAAGGGTTACGACAAATCTAGAAATTTTTCTTTTGAGCTTCCCTCTAATTCTTGTGATATTGTTGATATAAATACAATGATCGCTGCATATTTTGTTTTATGTTCTTATTCACTTCAATATAATTCCAATCAACATCTTTTTTCGGATGGAAGCGATTCATTCTTTCAATCTTCCTTGGTCATTTCGAAGTCAAAGGAAATGGAAGCTCCAAAGATATCGGGCCATGGCATTAAGCACCTTTTAGAAGTAACAACTGCGAAATTCATTCCTTTGAACGAACAAGTTCTCCTGCTTGCAACGTCTGGCCAGAAGGATTAGTATCTAAAGACAACAACAGCTTCATGTCTTCCATTACATGTGCTGTTATAACGACGGTGGATGTATTCTGCGCCGCATATTGAGTGGCTTAACTAAATTCTATGTACCAAATAGCTAAAAGCTAGAATGAGAAGGGTATTAGACAAGTAAATTGGCAGATTTTACAGATCTATAAAGAGCTATATCCTTCAGTCTCCAAAATAGCAAAATAAAAACCATTGACAACACAAATTCGGCATTTTCACTTTACTGTCAAATCAACGATACTCTACGGCTCTCAGCCTTTCACTTGTGCAATGATAGCTCGTAAAATCTGAGGTGGACGACTCTAGTGCTCAGGAAGCAGGGACCATTCCAGGGGAGTCGTCCTCATTAGTATCTTTATTTTCGGCGAAATCTGGTTTGGAAGCATCAACTGAAGAGCTTGGCATCTCTCGATTAGGTATTGGCTTTGGTGGTGATGAGACTGGCTCCGGATTCATGAGCACTTCGGATTGTCTCCGGAGAAGCTCGTCCAGTTTAGCAGCGGGATTCTAAATCAAAGAAGGTCAATTCCACACAAAAGCATTTGACAACATTCTGAAGAGGCTTACCCATTCTTCTTGCTTCGGAACTCCTTCGGCTGCAGGGAGTTCACCCTCCTCGTTCCTTTCCTCGCCCCAGAAACTTGGTCTTCGGATGGGCGCAGGAGTAACTGGGAGGCTGGGGCGTTCAACCTCGCTCGGAAAATCAGTAAGTCTTAGACTTGCTTTTCGGCGTGCAGGTCCGGCTTCAATGCTGGGCGAAAGTATGGGTTCATCGCCAGCCTTGGTGTCTAGAAGAACTTGTACGCGGCCTTTTCGAGCCTGTTGCATGGAAGTAATATATCTTTCAATCTCAGGGACATCGTCCCATGCGTTGCTTCGGGTGTAATTTTGCCATGCATCAGGCGGTATGATATTAATAGTTGGGGTCGTTGGGCTGGCTGTATCTACATCATTTTCCTCGCCTAGAGGTGGAGTAATGCTAGACTCTTCCGGTTTTGACGGCAGGTCGTCTGCGAAGACTCTGGTAGGTTTTGCCGCAGTATGCTCCCATGGAAATAAGGGCTTAGGTTCGAATTTGGGCGCGGTTTTCGGTACCTCATAGTACATCCCTTTGGGGGGTTCGGGATAGGCGTTTGGTGGGCGGAAAAGCTCACCGTCTGCGGACATGCTGTAAGATTGCTGTGGAAAATTTAACGCCTCAGGCTTAGAATCGGCTGGAGGTGGCGCTCTGTTTCCCCTTGGAATAAGCACAATTCTCGTTAATTGGGGGGCAAAAACTTACCGAGAGGGATCCCATTCGGTCATCGGAGGAGAAAAACGAGACAAGGACGTTTGAGGTTCTTCCTTTGAGGAAGTGACATTCGTAGGGGTGGAAGCAACCGCCGTGGGCGTGCTAGATTGTATTTGCGCTTCTTTATATGGAATGTATATGGGGTGCTGTATCGGAAGGTCTTCTGTTGCAGTCTGCTCTGAGACCGTTGGTAGGTGTCCTGCGTCTGTGTGAGTTGTGGGTTCCGAGGTTCTCGAGCTGGCCTGATCCATCATTAGCTTTGAACATGCCATGCCAGACGATTCCTCAGCAATCTTACAATTGGCTTCATATGGCGGTCATGCACAGCCCACCACCTAGCAAGGAGCTCCTCATAGACACCCGATGACGAGGGTGCATCTCGACCGGAAAGCCAAGGCTTTTCATGGCCAATAAAATGAATCATATTCAAGCTGCTTTGAAAATGCCTGTAGGCAGGCACATATTGATAGTGGCCGCTGGGTGTACAATTGTACCTAAAGCTCAGTCTGTGCCAGTTCGTGAAGTGCATATTGAGAAGCCCTTGATCGGCGCCATCAAAGCTGACTCCTCTTTGCGCAAGAGCGAGCAGAGCATAGAAATCACCAAGATTGGGATTCAACACCATAACGCCGCTATTGAAGCAATCAGGCCAGCCAACATCCGGAACAGCAGCAAAGGATGTGTCAAGTTCAAACAATTCATCAGGCGCTCGCAAGGTGACTACATCCGCATCAATGTAGACGATCTTGCGGAATTGTTGTTGGCGCCAAAGAGCAATTTTGGTGAATGTGGCGTTCAAATCCGGCCGATCCATCAGATATAGGTTTGCAGGAGATTTATTCACGATTCGTTCCACGGGGATGATATAGTCGTACAGTTTCTGCGAATCAATCTTTAGCTTTCTGTTAACATCACTGACGCAAGGGGCTCAATATACTTGAAGCTCTGCTAATGATGTATAGTGTAGGTTGTCAAGTGTAACTAGAACCGCAAGCTTCTTCCGAGTGCCGGAGTCAAGAAGCGAGTGAGCGAGAACCAAGGCACCTGATCCCCATTAACCATTGTAAACATTCGACGTTTGGCGTGGACGTGATTGTGAAACGAACCTGGCAGATATGAATCGCTCATGAGAAGCTAATATCCTTTGGTGAGCTTGCTATCCGAGCTGCAATGAACCTCAATGGACAAGGCATACCGTGCAATACACATCCTCTCCAGCGCCCTCCATGATTATCTCAGTGGAAGAGCAAGTACGTATGGGAATGGCTGGTCGAATCAGTTCATTAGGCTTGGCTTGTGCCTCTGGCTAAGAAGACGAGCACTTTCGCGCGTTCGTGTCGGAGAAGAAAACAATGGCTTCCTTAGCTCGTAGAATTGAATTGTTAGAAACAATGATAATCCGCTGAAATAGCGAATTGGACTCGAGGGAAACGCTTCACTAAAATATAATTAATGACAAACGAGACGCACGACAAGGAAACAGTGAAGATTTCAGCCTCGATATTACAGAGTGGACCATATTAGGGGACTATGTGGAGGTGGGTGATCAGATGTCGACAGAAAAGAACCGGGGGTGTTAAATTACGAAAGATCTAGTGGGCTTGCGGTCCCAAGAGATATGAACTCATTTGCTAACTCTTGGGAGCAGTGACGATATCCGGAGAGCTACCTGGGCAAACGATTTTACCGTTTGGGTAGGAGCTTGTGAGTAGCGATACCTTCTGGACCGTCTCTACTCGTATATTACTGGGCAAGTTGGCATGACCAAAGGGCCGAGCTCACTTCTTCTGGTGGGGGTTTGGACCGGTTTGTTTTAGACCGATGGGGAGCGAGGCAACATTGAGGACGATGATCTGCCTAGACCAGTGGAGAAACCCCGCTAAAAACCAGGGAAGCGATGGGGTTTCCCCAACGGAGATCAGCGGAACGAAAAAGGCCTGTCACTCGGGGTCGAAGTACCGGTACCGTCCTTTGCTTCACTGTACACAAAAGCGGGACCCTGGTTCTACTGTGCGAGGTAGCATTCGACAAATGGCATCACTGCGTATAACTCTGCAAGCCCTTTTGGCGATGGAATATAAAATTCCATCCTACTAACAAAAGAAGTCCGAGGTGTGAATTCCACTATTTCTGTACCCGTTGCTCAAATCAAGCTGTCATTGCTTGACGACGTACAATGTTTCTCCACTCAAAAAGAATTGAAGTACTGCAATGAAAAATGGCTGTTTGGGGGACGCGCAATCATTCCAGTGTAGCCTTGCTATCTGCGACCGAAATCAACTTTTCTTCTTCTTTCAAATGACAGCCTTTAGAACAAAATATGTCATTGTTACCATTGGAGGCCTGCAGACTTAAAAGCAGCTATTGCTTTTCTTTCATTGCCACGGTTGAGCGGTTCACAAGCCCATTGGGTGACCTACCTTTCTACCGTTATCTTTGCCCCTGTGCCCAAACCATTGACTCTTTGACTGAGCTTCTCTTGCCTCGACGTCCCTGCCCATTGAATGACTTGCTCGAGCAATGCTCCGCCTTTATCCTCAATGGGCACCCAGTGACCGTTCTTTGGGAGAATGATGACCTGGCTTCGGCGGAAAAGATAATCTCCGATGCCATCAAGCGCAATTCGTGGCTCCATTGCAAGATCACGCTCCCCCATTATGATTGTTGCCGGTGCCTTGAGTGATCCCAGAGGCCCCTCTTCGAACAACCCGGCACCACTGCTTGGACGGCGACCATCATCCAGATTGAAAAGGATACCTAATGTCTCGAGTGACTTCTCCCAAGTTCCCCATGCCAAACCTTCTCGATACAATCGAATCTGTTCTGGCCACGGCCCGGAACGCAAACGCGCGGTTACGCTTGGTGGATACCGCTCTCCAACCGGTGTTGCGCTTGCAACCTCCATCTTTGACGGCCCCAGCGATGAAGCCATTAACTCGGCCACCGAAATGCCTTGAAACGAAGGTTTTGCACCCTTTTCAAGCCCTCGCACATAACGAATCCACCAGTAACCGCCTAGTCGTCCAAACAAAGCGGTAAACGGCATTGGTAAATTCAACATAAAGATGTAGCCTGATTTCTTTAATTGGCTAAGCAGAGGCAGCGAGGTGTGTATGACAGTATGAATCACGTGGCGAGACTCCGAAGGCCTTTGAACAGCACTTTTCAGCATTTTGCTGGAAAACTGAATGATTCGCTTTGCATTCGTTGCCAAAATTTGTGGCTTTGAAATAGCTGTTAGTACGTGGCGAACAGTTCAGAATTGGACAAGGTCATGGAGCTTACATGAAAGGAATTGAGAAGAATAAAGTGGTCACAGAGTCGAGAAGCCTCGGCTGCCAGTCTGAATCCGATTGAGCAGCCCCAATCATGTCCAACATATAGGACTCTTCCCCCGCCAGAAGTAACTGAGTCGTCGTCAGGCAGGAATAGAGTTCTCATGCCAGAAAGGAACTCTGTCATAATTTCGAGGACCTCGGTTGCTGTATATTGGTTGAGCCCATCACTACCTCCATATCCCGGCAAGTCAACCGCCACCATCCTATTATTTTCACGAAGAACATCCGAATGAAGAAGCGGCAACCAAATCGCCCAACTATCGGGAAACCCGTGAACAAGAATCACTAGATTAGTATTCTCGGAAAGTTTTGGTGCCGCAGTAACGTAGTGTAGCTTCAGCCCGTTGCGGAGATTGAAGAAGGCATGGGCGAGATCTCCGTGCTGCTTCTCAAGGTCCCAGAGCTTATGCCTTGCTGAAGACAATAAATCAGTTTGGCGCGCTTGAAGAAATTTAAGGATACGTACCAATGGTGAGCTCGTTCTTCTCGCGTTCTGAAGGCCGATAGAAAAATCCGCCATGGACAGCAGCAAGCGTACAGTAATAGCCAAATACAAGGAAGCCGTAAAGTAGATTTACTGTTCGCCAAAGGGTGCCTTTCGTCAGATACATTATGCCCTTAGGTACAGGAAGGCTCGCCCGACGGGAAAGTGTTTTTCTTATTGTTGTCGTTGAGATAAAAGTATGATGGCATGGTTGACGGAAAAAGCACCACGCACATGCACGAGATGAGAAGGGAGACCCTGATTACAGTTTTTTGTCCAGTGTCAAAAAGGCGATAATGAGCAACAACGATAAGGCTGACAGTTGTGGAGGAGCCGGGTCAGGACGAGCAGCCACCCCGCTCGAGCCTAGAGATGTGATGGTCGCCTTTGAAGAAGACAGAAGCCATGTGTGATCCCTTGTCTTTATTGCTCCAACGAGGAAATTACTTTGCACATCATTTGCGGCATGGGACATCAAGCCGCGAACATCTTTCGGATACCTACGTCATTCGCTAATACCCCACAAACCTTGCCAACAACGCCGTATCGCCCTTTACACTCCGCTCGACTACCATGGTTCTAAGCTCATTAAGCTCTCCCGCTAATTATGGCATGTCCCCGCATAACAAGGCTCTGTTGGCAGGTGGACTTCGATACCAGCAGTTGGTGATCCAACGAAACGTCAAGCTCGATTTCAGGAGTATCAAAAAGAACATGAGATCGCACGGATCCTTGGCCAGATCTTTGCCCTTCACATAGTTAATGAAGCGGGTTTTCTGAGAGCCCGCGCAAAATTCTCCATTGTGAAGGCTGAAGGAGGCTGTGATAGTATGTTGTTGGACACCATAAGCCCACAAGCCCAAATATCTGAATCAAACATCTTGCGGAATATTAGGAAAGCCCCTCACTGAACCTTTCACCCAGCTCTGTGTACCCATATGAATAGAAATTCCCAATAGATGAAGGTCTAGCCGCAAGTTCAATTGGTTCGTATGCCGAACGTAACTCTGTTCAGAATTCTCCCTACCAGGAAAGCTCTCATTCCGATACCACACTCTTTGATAAACTAAGCCATACATACACTTACGTACTTCACGAAAGATATTAAATAGGTACGTGCAACGAAGTTGCTGATAGTTTAATTTACAACGCCCTTTCGGATTCGTTCAATGAAGACGCCCATTGCAAAACACCGCCCTTTTAAACCAACGCCTTTGATGATATCGGATACGGACAACGAAAGAGAAGTACGCTTTTCAGTATATGTAGTCAAAAAAAAAAAAAAAAAAAGAGACAATGACCACCGTCGTACCGGATACACGGCTAAAAACAAAATTTCAACAAGGTCATTAAGGTGTAGAGTATCCGACAAGGTGCCGATCGTCGTCGATTAGTCTCCCGTATCTTTCTCTAGGATTAGCATATGAAGAAGTTCTGGCCAGCATCAAAAGAAAATCGACTTACTCTAGAAGTAATCTAAAAAACCAGGCCTCTAAGTCTTCGTTCCGTAAGGTTTTGCTCGCCCAGTCCCTTCCCTGCATGGCTAGCCTTTCTGCTTGGGTTTGTCCCGATGGCTCTTGAGCAAAGTAGCGAACGCTTTCGAGCCACTCGTCGCCAATCAAGCCTAAGGGAATGTAGTGTACCCAAGGTTTGATCCATTGCTCGTGCCATTCTTTGAAGACAGCTAGCTTATAAACGAGACTTCTGCTCATCAAGAAGGCATAGAAACGGCCACTGAAGGCATTGCCATCAATATCGAGGAGATATTTCGAAGCCCAGGCCTCCTGCTGTCCTTCAGGTGGGACTAATTCGAAGAATTCTTTCTGGGCGTCGCAGTCTCCTGGATCACATTGCCCAACGTGAGAAAATTTCACATTGAAAAGATCCTTGTAGTCTTCCCTTTTTATTTCCTTTACACGCCAATCTGGAAAGGATTTCCCGCCTACATTTTCAATTGATTTAGCCTCGTCGATGGCGTTGATGCGCTTAACCAAGTGTTGACGGTGTTGTCGACGCCAACCGCCGTCGCGACTGAAGCCACCTGTGGTCGAGCCTCTCCAGTAGAGTTGATTCTTCTTCTCATTCCAATCAAAGTCTTTGTCCTCTTCATAGGCAACCTTCCCAAACCAGTACCAGGGGCTTGGGTAAAGGATATCCTGGAAGCTGCTGATTTTGCTCTGGGAGAATATCGGAAATAGGTCGTGTATCACATTAAACGCATTCGGACGATCGAAGAAGCCATACATTTCTCGGAACGAAGGTGATGTGCATATGTCGCAGAAAGCGGTTTGGTTGAATACGAATCCCAACTCGCCAAGAGCATAGGAAGTAGCATTGTCCACGGGATGTTCGCCCAACGCCCTTGCGGGGCTCTCCGGAGGACACGAAAGCCTCGAATGTGTCCACGTAGGCTGATGAGCAAATTTGTTGAATCTAGTTATCTTGACCTCTTCGATCCGCTTCCCGTTGTTCATGTCTCTTGGCCGTGGTGAGAAGGAATTCCTCGGGGCTTCGTTGGCAAACGCCATTGGCAAGACCTTGTCCTTGGCGAAAGCGACCATTCTATTGAGATCTTCGTGCGGGACAACCACACGAGGTTCATCATGTATGTTGAATGCAAGGTCCATATCCGGTAGATATTGGACAAAATCTTGAATCATTCCAAGCGTCGCTTGTTGCTGCCATTCTGGCCCCCCCTCAATCTTGATAGCTTGACCGCCCCGAATGAGCAAAGCGATCAAAGAATTGTCAAAACCAAGCGCTTCTCGAGCTCTGGCCCTTATTGTAGACGGATCCAGTGACCAGAATGGTAACAGAAACTCGTGGATATTGTCGTATTCGTCGATGAGCTGGACATCCTTGTTTTTAGCGAATTCGTACCACTTGTCGAAATTCGGCGGAGGCGGTATACGATATCTTCGGCGATACTCGGCAGCAGCCTCCGTAAGTGACCTTGACTGCGTCGATCTGATAGACTGAAATTCCGCCTCGGCTTTGGTGATGAGGTAATCCATTGGGTGAACGTCATTTGAAGGCACAGGGCTGGTTGGCACTTTCTGTTTTGGTGGAGAGACGATCTGGGCCGGAGACAACAACGTGTCTTCAAGAAACGATGCTGCAAGAATTATGAAAGAAAAGAAGGCGAGGACCGAGAATAGTTGCTGCAGTTTCATGGAGCGCATGCGCCCAAAAGCGGCCAGGACGGGAGAGGATCGTTCGTAGAAGAAGAGGTAGGAAGCAATTGCTGAGAGAAGAGCAAACCAAGTCCTCATGGGGGCAGCAGAAGTAACAAGTTTGGCTGACACCGTAGCACCAAGCTCAGCGAATGCAACGGAAGCAGCTCCTTGGGATTGAACCTTTTCAAACATAAGCTGAAGAGCTAAAATAGGTTCAATAGGGAAACCCAGCACTTACCATTAAAAGCATCATTATGCCCCGTACGCAGCCAAAGGCCATCATGGTCAGACCTAGAGTATAAGACACTCGCTGCTGACCAGTTTTCCAATGTTCACCTTGTAAGCCCTCATATTCTTTGCGGAATATCAGAGCATCGGTACGGAAGCTCTCTATACAGACACTGCCGACGGCGGTCGCCAGAGCCATGACCATAGCTACGTCCTTGAGGCAGATTAGAAAGCTATTCTCTGCAACATCAGCAGAGGAATAATAACGAGAGATCGATCCATTCGCGGAGACAAAGCCCCCACCGTCTCCGGCATATTGCTCGTGCCGTGTGCTCAACACATCTTCAAGTGTTATGTACGCTTGAGTATTCAATACAATGGTGCAAAGGCCCAATGCCACAGACTGAGAAGGAACATAGTCCTTGACTAACGTAATGAATGCGGAAAGAGTCAGAATTGCCAGCAGTCTTTTCGAGCCGAAAAATGATTTGTGGTTATCTGATGCCGAATCAAGCGTCGAGGGCGAAGATAGGCTGCTGGCGTCCAGTAAACGAGTCAAATAAACAGCCAGTGGAAGGAATGCCTAACACTTAAATTTCAGCTGATGGCTGATAATATCGATATATGGACAACGCTTACCGATGTCCACCACAATTCATCCTTACTGCCTGATCCTCTTTGGCAGATATGTGCCAGCGCCAACAAGCCTCCAGCAGCCCAACAATGTCTCCTCCGGGATAAGTTGCCGCTACCAGCACCTCCATAACTCCTGACAAAGCTGAATATCCACAATATCGCCCATGAAACAGCACTTATCAATAACGAGTGAGCCGGCGGCGTTCCGAGAGTGGTAATCGCATTAGATGAAAAGAGAGCTATCGCAACAAGCGTGGGCGACAACAACGGACCATTGCGATTGAGCGCGGAAGGGAGAAGCATTGGTCGTTTCCGGTTTTTCAAAAAGAATGTTGAAGCATCTCCCAGTCTCAAGTACCCAGTTCTATGATAAAGGAGCAACAAAATGGCGTATCATCCGATCAAGAAAGTCCAGGAAAGCAGAATTATTCGTAAGATGCTGTAGAGCCTTTCCAACTGTATACAAAGTGGTCACGACGGGAGTTGCCGGATATAGGAGACGAAACTAAAACAAAAGTCCAGGGGAAAGCACGTCCGCACCGCACCCGGAGAGGTAAAGCAGAGGTAGCGAGTACCTTGAATCAGGTACATGTAGTATCTGTTCAATCAATATAGTAGGTGCCTACCTTAGGTAACTACCATTGCTTTAGTAAAGATACCAAGCGCTGCTTCGTCAACTCCGAGAGCCGGACAATGAGCCTAAGCTCACCGCCAGCTGTCGGGGGTTCAGTGATATGGGGAAACACTTGTAATACTATGATAGCGAATAGTATTATTTTATGTCTTCAATACCATATTATATAATTTACTTTAGATTTATTTACAAGCAATCTAGCAAAAGCTTTGTTATATGAATAATATAGAGTAACGTTTGATTACCAGGGTACTTGATTCGTGAGAAGAAACAAGATGATAAAGTATAGACCAAGATATCTAGTTTGATCTAGTATTTTAATCAATTACTAGAGTTAGATCGTATCCTAAGTCAGTGAAGACAACTTTGAGAGACTTGTCAAATGATTATACTAAATTGATTAAACATATTATAACTGGTACTTTTTATAGCAAGAGGTTTATTCTTTCCATTGAAATTATCTTTACGGTCCATTCTATTCATTTAGGTTTAGTGTCCTAGTATTATGATAATATTACCTATCTATTTGTTCATTACTCAAGAAATTAGCTAAAATTATATCTTGCAAGATTTAGGTAAAATAACTTAATGCATCTCTACCCACAGTATACAATATTATCTATACAAGACCAAGTTAGAGAAATTTAAACAACCATAAAGTATAATGTATAAAGTATTTCTATATAAACAGAGGATGATAAGAGATGCTCAGTACCATTGTTCCAAGTCTTATTGGCCCAGAATCAACCATTGTTAGGAACTTAGGATGATGAATCAAAATAAAGAGGAATAGTCTGAATTTTCTTCGGGCTTCCTACTGCATCATCCATGTCCATGTACTGCTAGACTAGCATTCTTCTTTGCCGTGGTGATTCGTATTAATTCTCAATCACTACTTTACGTTGCCTTGTGTACGCTCAGAATACTCTGGACTCCTGCTACCATGTAATTTATCTCCATCTAGAAGCCCCCTCTGATCTAACTCTACACTCTGCACCGGCACTTCTATCAAAGTATCCGGACAGAACCTTGCCTGCAACCACCTCACCCCGACCACCGAGCCGCGTCCCACCATTACAGGAGGAAGCAGCACAGCACCAATCAAAACCAATGGAACAACATCCTGCGGGATCGGCGCCGGAGCCCCCGCGTCATCGGGGTGCAGCCAAAGGTTTCGCAGCAGTATCACCCACGTGACCAAACCCGAGCTCGCGTACAGAGCCAGGAGGCTGTAGAGGATCCAGGAGATGACGGATGCGAAACTTGGGCCGTCGGCGGCGGTGCTGGTGGTAGTAGGGCAATAGCGGATGTTCTGGATGCATAGGGCGAGGGTGACGAGGGCGACGAGGAGAGGGAGTAAGAGGAAGGTGCCAAGGACGAAGGATTCGGCTGTCGAGCGTTGTTTGGCGGCGGTCGAAGGGGTCTGCTCGGAGTAGGGAGGTGGTTCATTGCGATCGGTGGATGACGGCGGTGTCGATGCCTCGGACGGCGTAGTACTACTGGGTAGTGGGTATGATTTAATGAGGAAGCGCAGGATGGTGGTCAATACCAGGACGAGGAGCACGGTGAGGGAGATTAGGCCAACTATGACGCCGAATGAGGCGGTGGAGAGGAATAGCGCCCTGGTACATTTCACGGCAGGATCTTGGTGGTCCATGATGATTGCAATAACATCGTCTATTAGATAACCTTGATCGTTCTTGGGGAGGAGCGAAGAGAGAAGTTGGACATCCCAAAGTATGGGTGTCTGGATGATGTGTGATTTTTATTTCTCGACTTGCCTAACAGAATTGCCTTTTCCCTCAGCGTCTTGTTGGTAATGACGGCTTTCACCCAATAAAGCACCTGGCCCTTCAGCTTCAGTGCTCCACTGTCGTATTCGGGCTTACTTTAATTATTCTGTAACAAGGTTGGACATGGTTATCGTATATGAACCGAGGAGCCACCAATCAAGTTGTCTACAGTAACAGGAAATCATATGACGTACAACCAATCCCTGAGCTTGTAGAATAGGAGCTTACAGTATTATATGTATGGGAACTGGTAGTGACCTTTACGAGAAGAATGTAATGATCTTACCTTTTTGTACAAACCCATTGATGAATAGCAATGGTTTTATAAGTTTGGAACCTGGTAAAAGGATTCTGGAAATATCTATTTATTTTTATTTCTTGAGGACAACCAGGTGCCTCCTTGCAAGATAGATGATGGTAAATCTGCATAAAGGACACAGCAATGACCTCAGCAGGAAAGTCAGGTAAACAAACTCCAGAATCCAGATAAACAGAAGATAACAGGGGTTGTTTTGCGTGGCGGCCCAGCCAAATGCTTAGTCATTTCCGATGTATACTGCCTTTCGTCATTGCCAACCACGAGCCTAATTGCACAACTCCGCAACATGCACTCGGAGGCAGCAATGCCATTGTGGCATGCTTTATCACATACTCACCTTCAAAAGCACATTTCATTCGGCTGAAAACAAATAACATCGTGATTGTTGATATTATATCTAGGTTCACTTTGTGACAGGCAATTCGGTCCTTGATCCGTTGCGGCATCAAGGCAATTGAGTTGATTGGTCTCCGCAAGGGGTCTCTCGGTATTTTTGCAATCTCATTTATTTTTTTTTCTTTAATTCAAATCTCTTGACTGGGTATCACGCAGCCTCTCTGTGGCTTTTTCTGCCATGAAGCAAAGTACGCCACGTTCGTCCACTCCTCTTCAACCTCACCCAAAAGCGCCAGCAACACTGGACAACGTTTCCCTTGCCGCGACAGCCCCAAAGTCAAACCTGCCCGTCGCTCAAATATCTGTCGCACGTACTATGACCCGTCAAACCGAGAGAAATAAGACTCCTGTTGACACATCGGATAAAGCAACAGCCATCTTCATTCGTCGTGTCTTATGCAACGATAAAGATAGAGCCACAGCGCGATCGATCCACGAATTATTGCCTCCTCTTACAAGCTCTAATGATGTCGACCTTCAACTTTATGCTATCCTTGCAGTTATCTTAAAGGATTTTGTTTATTCGTGGTACGCGAAAATCACACCTGATCAAAATTTCGTCGATGAGGTCATACAAGTGATCGCCCATTGTACGCGAGCTCTGGAACAGCGCCTGCGGGCAGTGGACCTTGAGTCGGTCTTGCTTGACGAGATTCCTGAGCTTCTGCTAATGCATATTGAGGGTATTTGGGTTTCCATACCAATCGTAAAGTTCACCTGAAGAATTTCTTTTGTTGACATTTATTTGGCGATTTAGCGTACCGCATATCACAGTCCAATTTAATTTCACAAAATCTCGAATCAGACCCGAGAAAAATCTACCATTCAATTCGTGCACATCCCGCATTATCCCCTATCCCGACGGATGGCGTACCGTCGACCATACTCGAACAAGAAGAAAACGAAATCGCATATCGACAACTCCTCGCACAAGCAACACTTGCCATACTCCTACCCACTGAAGACCTTGAAAGCGGCTGCCTCCGTGAACTTGTTGGCGGAGTCCTTGGTGAAACGATCCTTGCTAATGGTGTTGCTGGGAAGGCTTGCGAAGGTTGGCTTTTATGGGAAGTCATTGCCAAAATATTAGAGGATATAACACCGATCTCTCGTTCGCCAGACGTGTTCGCAGGCAAGCATAGCAGTAAAATCGGAAAGCATCAGCATTTGGGGAAGACGAGTCAGCTTGAACGATTTGGACTGCTCACGTTAGAAAATACAGCGTCCCCACAAGTGTCCGAAACTTGGTTGCCAGAAGAATGGCCGATATCGGCCCTTATCTGGAACGCTCTTCATTACGTTTATTTGGCATTTACCGCACTGCGATATTTTATTGGGGCTCTTTGGATTTCGTCATCACTTCCGGCGCGATCACCACCCGCTATCATACAAACCAAGTTTGCGAATGGTGCCGGCGAGGAACAAGGCTTAGAAACTGCGGTCAATGAAGATCAAAGCCAGCCGACCCCAGCTTCCAAGGAGCCCATCCTTAGCATGCGAATCTGGTCTTGCGTGTCCCATCTTCTACAGGTGGACATTCGCATGCCGTGGCTCTCCGGGTTATTTTCCTTACTTCAATGGGCAGCAATGGTTGGGCCGGGAAGATTGGGTAACACAAATGGACGACTTGACAAGTAAGTTTGATTTCTCTTTCAGTGCAGCCTTTTCATTGGACCCTTTTCTCTCCTTGTGCGCCTCATTCCTCGCTTTGTGCCGTTGGCCTCGCATACGATTTTGATCACTTGACCATCCTGCAACGCTTGAGCCAGGATGGGTGGCGTTGTGTCGCACCAACCCACATGTCTCGTTATCGTCATGCATATGCAGGCGGCCGGGCCGAGGAGGGCAAGATTAAGCGTGCTCAATTTCTGTTCGCTATCGACTTCTGAGGGGCTTTTCATCGTTATGTACCTGGCGCTGCTGATTTCGATTGAATCGTTTGGTGATGTCGCATCCTGTTAATCTCCTTTTGTAACATTCTCTGTGCTACTCAGCACATACGCATATGCTACCTTTGCGCAAGCCAAGGTTCGCCTTGTTGCCCGGGACGAAGTTGTGCCACAACCTCCAACCGAGCCGAAACAGCGGCAGAGGAGAATAAAATGTGGAGGGCAAGGAAAGGGCTTAACAGGGTCATATCGTGTATTTTGCATTCAACGAGTATTGCATGAAGGGGGAGAAGTGCTGTTCTTTTCACATTTTTATTCTTTCCGCGTCACCCATTCCGCTTGGTCGCATTTGGTTCTTTTTGATTTTATTATTTGCGGTGTGTTTTGCTCGTTTAGCTACAGTTTTGGTCTAAGCACGTCGTACGGCCGGGGTTTACTACTGGCCCACCCTCGGGCGCACGACCCCTAACGGGTCGACCCATTAAGCGCCCGCGCTCGATCGGCGGGCCTTGGACGCATGGCTTGGGCCAGGCTAGCTCGCTACATCGTATCCCTCTTGCCCCACTCCATCTGCAGGTATGCCTGCATACATCGCCGATCAAGAACAGACCGCCCTTGATGCTTCATGAGATTCCACCCATTTTTGCCCTTGAATGGTTCATTCATGGTTTTATTATATTTTCTGCGTCATTTTTTTTTTTTTTTTATTTCTCTCTTTCCTTCTCTTTCGGTCTTCGCTCTTTCCGAAAACCACTTTCCCCACTCAATTGGCTCTTCTGCTTCAGAATTCGTTTCTTTGGTCATGGAGTTCTTTTCAGTTCCAGTACTTCCCTGTCTCATTCCATTTGCCCCCTCTCCTCCATTTCCTTTCTGAGACAGGACATGACGGGGGCATTCAATCGATATCGAAAACAGATCCCAAACCAGTGACGCTTTCACGGTCCATATCTGGACAGGGATAGCGCCAGAGGGAAATGGAGTGGAGTGCGAACGGCAGAAAATGATCAGTCTAATTTGTCTCGTCTCTTCTGCTCGTTTGCCTTGTTTGAGCTTACTTATTTTGACAGAACTTTGATGTTCATGTCTATGTCTTCCCACACACTTTCCCCATGTTCCTTGTGTTCATGCCCGTGGTACCATTTCAGCCACTTTATCTCCCCCCCTATCTAGTATCAGTTTTCTTCCCCCCCTTCTCCAATGGGCTGTTCTTCATCTCGTCTGTTTGGGCTGGCGCGTGTCCAAAACGTCCCGCGACTAATCATGCTCACATTTTCTTCTTGCTCCAAATTATAGGCTTCTCTCGCACTACATTCATCAGTGGATGCAAGACTCCCTGTCGCTCCCTTCTCTTCTCCACTTGGTCCGCACGTCCCTCTTCCCGCATAACGCGCTCGCGCCTGCGCGGGCCACGCCATCGCCTGCGGAACAGGCCGCCATCAAGTCCCGCTGTGCCGACGCCATCATCACCCTCGTCCCGCCCGTCGTGCTGAAGAACTTTTTGCGCACGGGCGACGGCGACAGCGACGGCAACGACTCCATCCCCACCTCTACCTCCCTCGACCCTGACGCCGCTCATCACGAACGCGCCTCCGGCGCTGGCGATCAACAGGAGGACGCAGATAGCAAACCTTGTAAGCAAACCGTTCGCACCACAAGTCATATTCGCATGCGCCGCGAAATCGAAGAAAATGTTCTAGGCCTTCTCGACGATCCCTATTGCAACAAGCATCTCATTTACAGCATTGTTGAGCTCATCCTGGTCCGACTCATGCCCGAACTAGGCGAGACTGGGGTCAAGGATTTGATGGAGGCACGGCTGGGATAGTCTGATAGTCTCTTCCTTTTTTTCTTGGTCCTTTCTTTTTCGGTTTATTAGGAGATTATACAAGTCAAGAGGATTAAACTGTCATTTGAAGTAGAAGTAGAAATTATCATGAGCTCGTAATGATGAAGAATAGCACCCCCGGGAGATATGGTTTCAACTAAATTGATTTAATTGTGACTTCTACCGGGAATCCTGGGTTCTGATCCCTTACAACGTTGGAAGATGTCGTATATCCCGGATAGACATCGTCATGGGTTAGTGGCCTGATGAGGCAAACGGGGGAGGGGGATGTTTAATTTCATAACGGGCCACACAATCTTTTGGGCAAATCAATGCTTTTCCTTTTTCTTCGCCTCCCCCCTGCCCTGCTGCCCTGTTGCTCTCATAACCCACAACTCTCTCTGTCCCTCTTTTTGAGACTCCCAAGTTTCATGTCCAACCCATGGGAAAATGAGCGGTCAAGTACGTTGTGAACCCGGTAACAAGGACGAGCCGATCGCTTCGCCGCAAAACCCGGGCTCATATTAAATATCTGAAACCCTGCTTGACCCTAGCAAGCAACAGCTTTCCTGTAGAATCCGTTAAGTCCGTGATGAGCGGTTAGTGCGATCCGCGCGGGAGAGAGAAGAAACCCTGGACGAGTGAGCTGGATGCGTACACAGGTACGAGTTTGGTCACGAATATCTAGATTAATGATTGGTTTTCTGAAAAATGGTAGGGAAAAAGGTGCACGTATGGCGCAGATGTTTATGCTTCTCTTGTGCCGGTACGTTGAGTTGCCATTGTAAAATGCGGGCGCGGGCGCTCGCGCGCTATGTATAAACCTGTCGATATCGCTTGCTTGTTGAAGCGGATTGACAGAAATAAAACCAAGTCAATCGATACATGCCATAAAATGCAAAAAGGGCCTTTGAAAAAAAAAAAAAAAAACAAAAAAGGATATAAAAGTTGCAGCCCACAACCCGGAAATCAAGCGAATGAAGACATAGTCCTCTGAAACTCGCATTTATACAAAGAAGGGGCTTGGGTGAAGAGAAGATTGTTCTTATGAGAAAATAGAAATAAAAACAAGGAAAATGATTAGAGCTGGATAATGATACCTAAAGTCCGCGCGAGCGGGTGTCCGTCTTTTTTTGTGGGTTTTCCCAAGATTCTCTCGGAATGCAATGCCCAATCATGAACAATGGAAATGAAAACCATCGAATGCATAGCATATGAAAAAAAAAAAAAAAAAAAAAAAAAATCACCCCTTGCTGGGCGAGCGTGATGCATGCCGGCCATATAGAGATTAAAAAAAAAGAGGAAGAGAGAAAAGTTCATTCCCCAAAAAAGGAGCCGAAAATAACCAAGTCAGAAACCGATTTGGGTCGCCAGAGGCGCTGCCTCACATCAACCAAGGTATAAATGCAAAGACGATGAAAAGAAAGGGCTGCCAAAGGATGTACAAGACCCTAAAAGGTCAATGATATATAAATGAAATGAAGCCCGAGAGAAGAAAGCGATACTGCTGTGATTGCGGCGAGAGAGGTAAAAAAAAAGGGAAAGCAATAACTGTCGTTGATCATCAAAGTCCTCAGGTACCGACACGTATCTGGGATATACGGGCCGCGGTCTTTGTGGTTTCGACCCATTCCCAACCAACCTAACTGGTACGCATGTTGGTGTTGTTAGAGCGAAGCATTGAGGGACTGATCCTTTTTAGATCCGGCCATTTCGTGCTCTGGGATATGATGAAGACCTCCAGGGAGGCCTTTTGAAAGGTCGTGCCCTTGGATCCGCAGTTTCTCCATGAGCTTTCCAATCGTCATGTAGTCCTGAGGGTCTACGAAACCGGACGGTTGATGTTGAAAGTAAGCCATGACCAGTTCGAGCGCACGACGAGCATCATCCTGCGAAGGGGATGTCGGTGAACCATATCCATTGCTCGTGGTAGGAGACGTGCTTTGGGTTGAAGCATGAATGGACAACGGGCTGATGTCATCGTGGCTGGCGTATGTGATCGAGTGAATACTGCCATTTGCTTGGCGATGAGGATCGCCTTGAGACAAAGAAGTTTCCAATGGTGGCATCTTGACGGAATCCTGAGTATATTTCTGAGAACCCTCATTAGTCGTTGAAGACGTCACGAATGTCGGCTCAATCCCAAGCATTGGAAACGTCTGACTACGTGGACGACTGTACAAGTCACCCATAGTTGAAGGAATGCCAACGTGAGGCGACGAAAGTGGACTCGGCCCATCGTTCAAATCCGGTGAGAAGAAAGGCGAGGTTGGACTATGGGGGGCCTGCGAGAATAGTTGAGGACTGCTGTCGCTGAAAATGCTCGGAATTGGAGGAGCATTCGCAGAGCTAATTGGTGCAAAAGGTGGCGAGAAGTCTAGAAAGTCGCTTGGGCTGTCATTTGCTGTGCTGTCTTGGCTCTTGGGGGACCTGATGGGCGATGGCGATGAGAGGCCTCCTGGTGAGACTGGGGAGAGGGCATTAGGCGTCGTTGGCTCCGAATCCGTTTGGATTTGTAGACCACGCGTAGAACCACGCCCGTTGCTGCTTTTCGCTGACTTGGAACCGGCGAGATTGTTCTTTTGCTTGAACTTTTCAAGCCACGTGGAGCTATTTGCTTTCAAGTGGCTCTCTGAGCTCCCCACGGTGGTTGCAAAAAATCGCGCCTTTTCTTTGATCATGCTATCAGTTAACGGTAAACCTTGCTTCTGATAATTTCTCGCCCAATTGGACAGGGCGCGTTCAATGTCGGGAAATTTCCCCTTGGATCTTTTGACAGGCGACCTCGACCCGTCGTCCGGGAAGAGGTACTTCTCCTTCTGCCGCAGAACTTTGGATACGGTGCTATTGGAAAGATTAGCAAGAGGATCATGGGACATAATTAGAGAATGTCCGTCAAGCGGTGGCTTCGATTATATGGCTACTCACCTCCGTTCGACGCCAAACATTGCTACATTTACATCGAGTCAGCGGTAACCTTTCAACGGGGAGGTTTTCAGTGTTCCATGGCATACCTCCAATTTCCGTCTGCTTGACGGTCGGGTTTTCCTCATGGTATTGGCACATTCGGCGGCGGTCATCATCCGTCAGAGTGCGGCGCGGAGAAGACGTTGAATTTCCAGAGTGACCGGTGCCTTTTCCAAGGTGATGTGAAGAGGATCTCGAAGACAAGATTGGCCTGGGCGTCATGGAAGCACTTGGAGGTGATGCACTCTGCTGCATCTGCTGAGCCAGTGTGGCCTGACTGGCCAACATGCTCGGCCATTGAGGCATGATTAACGGACGGGCCGGTGTGTGGGCATTGCTTCCAACAGAGTTGACTCGATTGTGATTGTACGTGGGTTCGATTGGCATATTCTGCGGAGAGATAAACGAGAAACCGCCATACTCGTGCACAGGAGACTGATGTTGCGGGGAGCAATATCCACCCAGGTTTGTCCAATGGTCATGATTATCGCCAAACCCAAGCCCCTGGCTATCGTGATGATGAGGGTTTTCCATTTCTAGGGCAGTCATAGTCATGCCAGGTTAAAGAGATTTCAAGTCGAAATTGACGACGATATATGGTGCCAAGGTCCATCTACATAAGAGAGAGCGTCGTCGATGATTGCGTAAGGAAGCCCAGCGGTTTGGGAGGACGGGTTGGAGAAGTTCGGCCACACACGAGGTTCCCTGAAGGACTGATTTGACTTTAGAAACGGCGAAGTGCATGCATGATAAAGGTGCCTGAGAGGCCAAAGGTCATTCAAGGTGGTGTTACAGAAGCTTATGCAGAAAGCTCAGAACAGAGGCTTTGGGTCGAGCCGCAGGACGGGATAGTGAGGCCGCAGAACAGGGGTAGGCTTAAGCGTCGCTAGGATAGGTAAAGAAACGAAGGCACAGTAGTCCAGAGTACCTTTGGGAAGCAAAAGAGAGTAATAAAGCGGACAGACGTGCAGGACCAGGACCAGGGCATGAAAGGGAAAAAGGGGACTAGGGGAAGCTTGAGGAGGCAGCGTCAGGTTGCAGACAGGTGCGGAGAAGCCTTGCGCCTTTTGAATGCCGACGGGTCTGGTCCGAGGCCGAACGTCCAGACATGTCGCGTACAATTTGGCAGATGAGAACTAAGTTAAGG